AATGGCTGAAAGGGAACTGCCAGAGGTTTAAGCTAGATTCAAACAGGGATGTGGAATAAGGGATATCATTGCTGACATTTGGTGGATCTTGGTTGAAAGCAGAGAATACTAGAAAGATGTTTACCTGTGCTTTATTAACTATGTAAAGGCTTTCAACTGTGTGGATCATGATAAGCTACAGACAACGCTGCAGAAAATGAATATTCTGGAACCTATACATAACCCAAGGAGCTCTGGTAGTATAGTGGTTACGAACCAGGCTGCTAATCTCACGGTCGGCAGTTCAAAACTACCAGCTGTTCCACAGGAGAAAGATGAGGCGTTCTGCTTCCGTAAAGATTTATAGCCTCAGAAACCCTGTACAGGGTTGCTATGAGTCAGAACCGATCCCACGGCACATAACAACAACAAACATTCAACCTGTGTGCTGAGCAAATACTCTTTGAGAAGCTTGATCATATGAAGAAGAACATGGCATCAGGATTGGAGGAAGACTCATTAACAACCTGCAATCTGCAGATGATACAACCTTGCTTACTGATGAAGACCACAGCCTTCAGTATAGATTACACCTCAACGGAAAACAAAACAAAACAAAAACCTCACCACTGGACCAATAAATAACATCATGATCAATGGAGAAAAGATTAAAGTTGTCAAAGACTTCATTGTGCTTGGATCCACTATCAACACTCATGGAAGCAGCAGTCAAGAAATCAAATGATGTTAATTTGGGCAAATTTAACATGTTAATTTGGGCAAATTTTGTTGCACAAAGCCTCTTTAAAGTGCTCAAGAGCAAAGATGTCAGTTAAGGACTAAGGTGTGCCTGACTCAAACCAGGATATTTTCAATAGCCTTATATGCAGGTAAAAGTTGGACAATGAATAAGGAAGACCATAGAATTGATGCATCCGAGTTATGGTGGGTGTTGAAAAATATTTAAAGTACCATGGACTTCCAGAAGAACAAACAAATCTATTTGGGAAGTAGTATAGTCAGAATGCTTCTTAAAAGCCAGAATGATGAAACTGTGTCTCTCATCCTTAAAACATATTATCAGAAAGGACTAGTCCCTGGAGAAGGACACCATGCTTGGTAAAGTGGAGGGTCCGTGAAAAAGAGGAAGAGCCCCAATGAGACGGATTGACAGCAACAATGGCTCAAGCTTAACTATTATTGTGAGGATCTGCAGGACTAGACCATGTTTCCTTCTGTTGTGCATAAGGTGGTTATGAGTCAGAACCAAATCAGGGTACCTAACAACAGCAACAAAGAAATGATGCACTTTTGTCTTCAAAGTATTGTCCATCTGGTTATAAAGTCTGGAAACTGATCTGGACACTGTGGAATCGTAACTCGGGGCACTAGTTTCAGTGCCAACTGAGAATTTTCTTTTTTCAATTAGTGATAATCCAACAAATTTCCCATTTCCACCTAATGTTGGAGAGTATGTTCCTGTGCCCAGGGTGAAGAATTTAAGAGACACGGGCAGCTATTAAGTCCTGGCTTGCACGCTTGTGTGTGGGCATGGGCATATACACACACCCACGTTAGTACCCTCCTCAAGCCCCAGCTGTAAATCCTGACCTCTTCCTGCATAAAGCCCAGCATGCACTCTCTCACTCGTGTCTACTTAGGGATCCTGTCACACCCCACTCCGGGGTGTAATCAGCAGATTTGGGATCAACAAAATAGCTTCAGGTTGAGCTAACACTCTCTCCTAACTTGAATTAAATATGCAATATATGAGATCAGCTGTGAGAAAAAAATGCTGTGACTTTATCCTAAATAATGAATCCTACCAAGCCCATGTATTTTCTCTGAAAAAAGAGAAATGAAACTGATTTTTAAGACCAGCTGAAGAGGTTGTTGTTGTTGTTAAGTGCCACTGAGTCGATTACAGCCCACAGCGACCCTGTATATGGTTTCAGAGGAGCAGCTAGTAAACTTGACCCGCCGACCTAGTGGTTCAAACAGGTTTGCAGTCTGACGCATTAACCCACAGCCACACCAGGACTCCAGTTGAAGAGGTAGGTGGCTTGATATTACTTTAGGATGGTTCACTGACAGGCTTAATCTGGGCACCGTAGAGAAGAAAATCCCACTTTTCCAGACCTGCATAATCATCATTGCCTACATAATTCCAGTCGTAAGGACTGAAGGGAATTCCGACCCATAGCGACCATAGGGTTTCTGAGGCTGCAAATCTTTACGGGAGCAGAAAGCCTCATCTGTCTCCCATGGAGCAGCTGGTAGCTTTGAACAGCTGACCTTAAGGTTCACAGCCCAATTCGTAACCACTACGCTACCACCAGAGTGCTGGTTATTTACCGTCGACTCCGCAACAACATGCCACTGATACACATTTAAAGGGCCTGGAACAATGTGCTCATTTCTCCTTCCTCATAGCAGATTTTTCTTTGTGTGGGAAAATTGTTTCCATTGAGTAAAGGTAACGAGGTCAAGAATGTATATTCTTTTCCTCCACAGGAGGCCCGGGCTATTCTTTTCTGTATGAGATGCTGACTCCACTCAAAGCCAGGTCTGTATGTGGGCAGGGCTTGAAGAAACTGCCAGCAGGTCATTGTTCATCACCAGGGCAAACATTTGCATTTCCAAATTTGACAAACAGGATAACAACTCTAAAGAAAACCATCAGTAATTTTGTCCTACCAAAGACTACCCTCATGTGTGACCCTGACTCATGCACGAGTCAGAGGTAGCACGCTTGTCACCAGAAACAAAGGCCAATAAACCTCCTTTCCTGCTACCACCAAGACTGGTCTGGACCCAGCTCAATGTCAAGGATATTAGTTCCCTAGACTTCACATACCCTCTCAAGAGCTCCTTGAGTTTTCTGTACCATCTCCATAGTAACAGCCTCACACCCTAATGCTGTTGAGGAAGTGAAGCCTAGACCTCAGAAGAGAAGGGTGGGTTAGGCTGCACCCCACAACTCAGGAGAATTCATTTCCTAGTGGGACAGACAGACACTCAGGCTTCTATGAACCTGAACTCCAAACAGCTGAAGGAAAAGGGCAGAGGACAATTCTAGTCAACTATCTATTCCAGTAAGGAGCTCTGGTAGAATAGTGATTGCTAATTGGGCTGCTAACCTCAAGGTCAACAGTTCGAAACTGCCAGCTGGTCCACGGGAGAAAGATGAGGCTTTCTGCTCCCGTAAAGATTTACAGCCTCGGAAACCCTGTACAGCTATGAGTCGAAACCGACTCTACAGCACATAACCACCACCACCACCATCTACGCCCGTAATGTCCACCAGAAAACATAACCTACTAATAGAAAAGCCCATTAGAAGGGGAATAAAAAAGTAGATGGGTTCAAATTTCAAGGTTATTATCATTGTAGGAAAACTAAAGTGTATTCTAAATCCCTCATATCTAATCACTTTAACTAATTTTTGTTTTATTAACCAGCAAATTGGTTGTTAAAACTTTAATGAGATCATAATTATTTACTGATACAATAAATCCTGATTATAAAGATGTGTGAATCCTGATCCTTCGACTTTCTGAACTAGATGAATTTTCAGGCTTGGAGAAAATAATCATTACAAACTCTTTATAGATCCATCAGAGATTTCTTTAATCCACTTAACTCCAAATATAGATCAAATTCTGGTCCTATGTCATTTCTACATTCTTTGAAGAAACTATCATTCACACATTCCAAGTTACTATGACATTTAAAGTATCCACAGGCTGAGACGGGTGACACATAAAGGTAACAGTCGTTATATTCTAGTGGTTATGTTGTTTTCTCTGTTTTTCTAATGTCCTATCACATGGGCATGTAATTTTTATAATAAAAGAATGACAATTTAAGAAAGAATTCAAGGTTACAAAACACAGCTGACTTTATAAAACAATTCTTAAAACCACTGCGCAGGTGGAAGACATTTGGCTGCAATGCAGATGTCAGTGGATGATCGTCCAAAGGGCTCCGGGATGGAGGGAGGCCAGGACCAAGACTGTCCTCGGAGATAGGGGTGGGGCACAGCTTCCCACCACAGCATGTGTGATGTACAATGGATGTCGACACACTTCTCAGACTCTTGTGCCTGGGAAATTTCAACAGACTTGTGGAACCTGCATTTGATTAGATTTAACAGTGAGGAAAGAGAGGCTCATATAAAAGTAGTGAAACAACCAGTGAGTTGTGGCATCCCTGGCAAAATATGGTGGCACAGTGGTCAAGCACTCAGCTGGTAGCCCAAAGGTCGGCGGGTCAAGCCTACCCCACAGCTCTGCAGGAGAAAGGGCTGGTGATCTGCCCCCGTAGAGACGACAGCCTAAAAACTCTAATGGGTACGGCTGCTCTGCCACGTGGGGCTGCTGAGTTGGAATCAGCTGGACGGGACGGCAGGCACCCAACAACAAAAACCAGCCCGGGGACAAAAGCAGCCGTTGTTGGCAGCCACCCACCTCACCGGCAGCCAGTATCCATGGGTCGGGAAGGGTTAGGCAGCGTCACACACTCAACGTGTGTTCACTAACAAAACGGCAGTTACCAGGGGGCTTCAGAGCATTCGTGGGGAAATCCCCCCGTCTTTTCATTCTGCTTTTCCACAAACATTTTGAAGTCCCACTCCCTTGATGACCCGCTAGAGGTGGGGACCCTCTCCAGAATCTTGCAGGATGCTTTGTGGACACTATAAACCAAAACCTCTGTTTTAAGATGTGTACATCTCATCAGGAAGATTTCTAAAACTCATTTAAAGAACAAATAATAACAATAGTCTACTGGGCATTCCAAATGAGTACTTTTACCCAGAGAGAAGGAATATAAATGTTTACTGTGTAGGTCTGTAAAAACACAATTCCTTCAAGAAGAATTTGAGGGTCTATCCTTGCAAACAATCCAGTGATTTGGGCTCGAAGGCTGTACACACAGCACTGAGACTGCCTTCTTGAGCTGGTAATGCCATCTCCCTGCTGCCCACCGGAGGGTTCTGGAGGCTGGGGCCTCTGTGGAGGTCACAGCTGCTGGCTGGTGAAGAAGGATTTCATCTCTCCGCAGACGGGATTAGGACAGAGCGGGCAGCCCAGTGTCAACTGCTTGGAGCAGAGCTCGTTGGACTGAATGTGCGTGAGCACCAAGTCGGCCAGGGCCTGGAACAGACAGATGGCAAGAGGCAGAGGTCTGTCAGGAGCAAAAGACACCCCGTGCGTCTCCCACCACCACTCTGCTCTGATAATCAGTACAGTTTGGGGGTTTCTTTTCATCTGAACTCTGAATCCTTTGAAGGAAGGTCTACAAAGCCTTCTTTGCCAGAGAGTCCTCATTGGAGAAAAAGTTAGAGATGTGAGAAAATGAGATCCTCTCCCCCACCCTCTAGAAGAGCAGACACAGAGGTGGGAGGAAGTAAGGAAACTGGGGAGGCTCTAAAGGAGAAACAAGCGAGAGTGTGAGGAATTCGATTTCATTTTTCTAATTAATTGGAAGGCAAAATGTTCTAATATGTGAAAAAGCCAATATTCTGTAGGCGTTTCTCAGAGGATTGCTTGCTCCCCGCCTGTTGGATGAGTGCGGCCGGCTGTACAGCTGCAGGTACCTTAGAGAACAATGGATTTCCATTCAGAGACTCTGCTCTTCGGATATTCTCCACTCCACACTGACTCCGAGGAGAAAAGGGAGGGAAAACAAACACAGTTAATGTTGCTTTCTAAGAAACTGACTGCTACAAAACACATACACACACAGCCACACACAACTCAGTGGTACTTCAAAGCATTCACAGACTGCTCAGCATGAGGCATGGGCCCGGGACCAGGCACATGTAGATCTTCATCCCTGTGATCACAAATTGCCCTTCCATTTTGGGGTCCCCCCTTCCCCAGCATCTCCCCACATGTGGTGTGGTTCCCAGTTACAGGATGCTCTGGTCCCTGCAATCTGCTCACCAGTCTTTGTTCGGTCCTTCTGCAGACTCTGCCCAGGCAGTGTGGTGCTTTTATGAAGTGAACTTTTAATACCAGAATATGACAAAATGTAGCTGATTTATCTACAGACTGCATAGTGTACACAGAACTTAGGTTGGATGCAAATCTCAATCTAGCTTTTAAATCTATTTTTACACAGAAAAAAAATTTTTTTTTTTAAAGCTAAGGATTTTTTTTTCTGGAAACACATAGCTAATTAGCCTTTCTATGACCAAGAAATAGGAGGAGGCTTCAAAGTTTGTGGGAAAATCCCATGTAAAACTCAGGTAGGTAGATTCACCTTTATCCCTTTCCTACTGACAGTGTTTCACGTGCTTTTTCACAGACCTGCTGATCTGTTCTTGTGAAGACTACAACCTAGAAAATCCTGTGGGGGGGGGGTTCGTCTCTGTCACATGGGTTGTCACGGGTTGTCATGGGTTGTCATGGGCTGTCACGGGTTGTCATGGGCTGTCACGGGTTGTCATGGGTTGGAGATGATTTGACAGCACCCAGCATGTTGCAGTGAGCATCAGAAGACAGACACGGAGAAGAGCTGAGGTTCAGACAGACACGGAGAAGAACTGAGGTTCAGACAGGCCCAGGAGAAGAGCTGAGGTTCATACAGGCCCGGGAGAAGAGCTGAGGTTCAGACAGGCCTGGGAGAAGAGCTGAGGTTCAGACAGGCCCGGAGAAGAACTGAGGTTCAGACAGGCCCGGGAGAAGAGCTGAGGTTCACACAGGCCCGGGAGAAGAACTGAGGTTCACACAGGCCCGGGAGAAGAACTGAGGTTCACACAGGCCCGGGAGAAGAAATGATGTTCAGACAGGAACAGGAGAAGAAATGAGGTTCGGACAGGCACAGGAGAAGAACTGAGGTTCAGACAGGCCCGGGAGAAGAGCTGAGGTTCAGCAAACATGTTGTTCCCACCTTGAAGATGTTTCTTTTCAAACTCTACGTAGGTCCCCATGGAACCCTGGAGAGCTGACAGGACAAGCCAGGAAAACACCTGCCCAAACTGAAAATGTGCCTGTCACCCTTTACCCCGAAATTCTATTTCTAGGAAATGATCCAATAAAGCCATTGGGAAAATGCAAAGAGAGACTGAAACTTATCACAGAGTTGTTTGAAATGATAGTAGAAAATCAGAAACATTTTAGATGTGTGCTTATCAGGAATTTTTTTTAAAAACATTAACTATACAGATCTAATGGAGTCCTGGCGTGGCACTGTGAGTTAATGCGCTAGACTGCAAAGCCATTTGAACTGTAAGGTCAGCAGTTCAAGCTCACCAGCTACTCCTCAGAAACCCTATACAGGGTAGCTATGGGTTGGAACTGACTCGACGGAACTTCACAACAACAACACATACAGATCTAAGCATATTTACTGATTTGGGACCATTATAGGTTTTTAAGGGAAAAAAGAGTAAAATATAATCTGTTAGACATGTGGATGAGTACAATTTTTATTAAAGTGCACGAACACACATACATTTAGAAAAAGATGAGAATTCTTACCGAAAGATTAACAGATGTTCTCGGTCTCTGAGAGGTGGAGTCTACTCTGGGTGTTAAACTCTGAACTCTCTGAACTCTTAATTATTTTTGTTATAAGAAAGCAACACAATGACCTACACCTATGGGTGCAGTAGCTCAAAAGATGGAACAAATCTTTATAGCAAAGATCATTCCCACCCCCTGCATACACAGAGTAGACAGGGATGGGCAACTTGGACATTGGTTACCCAATATGGGGGGGGGGGGGTGGTTACAAAGGCAAGAAGTGACTGGCTTACAAGCTTTCAAGAGGGAACCTAGATCCAGAGAGCATGGAGGAAAGTAGAATCTCCACTGAGTAGTATACAATCTGTCTGGGTGGGGCTGATGAAAGGAAATATAGATAGGTCTCTTCTGATACAATAGTGAAAATTGTTATCAGGACTGATTGTGTGGGTTGGAAATGTAAAGGTAGATGTTTTGAAGCAAAAGAAGGGGAGTGATTGACTTTGCAGTCTAGGAGCAGAGGTCCCTGGGACCATCAAGGAAGAAGAGCAGAGAGTGGGACTCTACCCAGAGAAGTAGTGATGCCTGAGATGGAGGCAGAGACGATGACGTGGAAAGATGGAGCAACTGGAGACTTTAGACCCAGAAAGGGAGAGGGACTGTACGCTGACGACCGGGAGGCAGACTTGCAGGGTATACCCTTTGTTGGTTGATGATGCATGGAGGGGATTGTAACCATGGCAATGAAACAATATACGATAGGATGAATGTAAAACTAATGTTCTCCCATGTAAACGATCACATAATTCACAATAAAACATTAGAAAAAAAAAAAAAGCAATACAGCTATTTCTATCCTGGGAAAATTCAAACTACTTTTTAAAGAAAGTTGTCATAAACTCAATATATTCACCCATCACAATAATGAATAAATCACAGCTAGATGGGTATCTTTACTCCTGAAGATTGATTTTATTAGCAGGGATGGGCACTGACTTCACCTAAAAAATTCTGTCTGCCCTCAGTTCCTAAGAGAAAAAAAATAAAGACACTCGAATTTCCTTAATGTTTTAAGGGTCTTTGGTAAAGAGACAAAGACTCTAGACCTGAAAGGTTCAGCCAGAGAGGGGACTCGGGTAGGGGGCCCCCATATCCCTCCACCTCACGGGGAGGAGCTGCAGTTTGCTGACATAATGAGACCCCAAAGGAAGGCTCAGGACAGTGGATGTCCATCAACTTCCTGAGCAGCAGCATCTACTCCTGGAAGCCGAGCTGGGCACCCTCCCAGGCCCCACCCTGCTTTGTAGCCTTAATAACCAAGCTCAGTCCCTAGTACAGCCCTCTCGGTGGGTTCTGCCGGTTGTTCTAGGAAATTACTGACCCTAAAGGAGTAGCCAAAGTCCAAGGTGAGGGGGCTGGGAGTGTGTGTCAAAAATTCCAGGGTACAGCGAGCTAAGCCTCACAATATTCAGAGGGCTTCTGTGGACCCGGTTGGGGACCTGGTTGGCAAGCAGTGTGAGGAGACCCGAGGACTCCTGGGCCCAGAGTCAGTGACATGGCCACAGAGGACTCAAGTGGAGAATGGAGCTGCCAGCTGATGGGAAGAGAGGGCATGTGCACAAGTACACCCACACTTGCAGATGACACCCACGTGACCAGGACTGGATGACTGGATGATCAGAGCTCAACCAGGAGAAGAAAGTGGGGGGGTGGGGGGTGGGAAGAAGACTGAGCTGATCCAAGCTGATGAACTTGACCTATGCATACGAATGCAGTGACACAAAAGAGGCGATAAATCCTTACAGCAAGAAACATTCCCACCCCCTCCACACACAGAGTAGACAGAGAGGGGCAACTTGGACATAGGATACCCAAATGGGGAAGGAGGGATTACAAAGGCAAGAAGTAACTGGCTTACAAGCTTTCAAGAGGGAACTTAGAGCTAGGGGGCATGGAGGAAGGCAGAATCACCAGTGAGTACTATCCAATCTGTCTACATGGAGCTGATGAAATGAAATACAGATGGGTTACATGTGATACTGTAGTGAATAATGGTTATCAAGACGGATTGTGAGGGTTGGAAATGCAAGGGTAGATGTTTTGTATCAAGGAAGAGAGCGATTATTTCTCTAGTCTAGGAGCGGAGGTCTCTGGGACCACCAACGGATAAGAAACGAAACTGGACCCCACCCAGAGAACCAGGGATGCCTGAGATGGAGACAGAGATGATGACATGGAGGGATGAAGCGGCTGGGGACTTTGGATCCAGAGAGGGAGAGGAACTGTGGGCTGAAGACTGAGGGGGGAGAGGAGAATGCAGAGTACGGGCTTCTAGGATATGCTCTTTGGTCGGAAGACGATACATGGAGGGGATTGGAACCATGGCAATGTAATGATATACGATGGAATGAATATGGAACTGAGGTTCTCTCATGTAAACTATCATATAATTCACAATAAAACATTAAAAAAAAAAAAATTCCAGGGTAACAGACCAGAGAACCCCCAAGATTGTAGCCAGCAGGTCAGAAGGGAGGGTGTCACAGGGCCTCCCGAGTTTGTGGCAGGTGTCTGGGGTCTGGAGGACTATGTCCTTCATCTTGTGAGCTCTGGTCCAGCTCCGGGGGGCGAGGGTCAGTGGAGGGAGGCTGCCGCCTGGGCAGTGCAGTCAAAACAGGACAGAGAAGGAAAGTGAGCATGTGTTATGGCCTAGCCGTGTCAGAAAAAAAGTGGATTTGAACAAATATCTGGTATGAAAGAGGCTTCAAAAAGTCCAAGGAAAAATGATATTAAAGGATCATAGAATTTTCCCATGAACTTTATGAGGCCTCCCTCACTCTATCACCAAAAATCAACTTGATTAGTAAGTAAAAATGGTTTAGGAGTGTGAATGTATGTGAACTGCCATTCAATTCACACAAACACTCCGTTTCAAACAAGCTGGTGTGAACTGTAACATGCACTCCAGTCTTTGTGGCGAGTGGAGGGTGTGGGGGAAACTGCAGAGGGCTTCATTTCCTGACCTCCATAGGCAACCGTGAAACCTTATTTCAGCCAATTACAACTTTCCCACAAATCCTTTATCAGAACTACTGACAAGTAATTTAGGTCCTCCCTAACTCCATCACTGTCTGATTGATGACCAGCGCCAACACACCAACACCTGGGGGTCCGAGGCTGGCTGCAGCTCTCCCCCTACCCATTCTCCAGCCTGCCCTGCACCTGCCACCCGGTCCCTGAGAGGGTGAGGTGTTCTTTGTGGCCCAGCCTCCATCAATCACTCCGTGATGACCAGAGCCAGGCGCTCTGGCAGAAGATGAGGTGGGGGAGAGGGCCTGTTGGACGCCACCAGTTCCCTGGTTCCTATAGAAACCGTACTACAAGCAGGACTCAGAAGCCAGGAGAAAGGTGAGCAGTAGTTTTTCTACATCCTGAGTGGTTCTGAGACACTGAGGATGGTATTTGTTATTTCAATAACCAGATTGATCACAGCAGGGGTGCAGACAGCTAATTAAGCTAGCACACAAGGATGACCAAGGAATTACAGCGCGCAGAAACCTCAGTGCGTACCCCACCTACTCTCCTGAGTCAGAGCCTCAGTCACAGGCCTGGAGACCCAGCGACACAACATTGTCAGAGCAAGACAAACTGGGGAACAATGGAAACGTGTCCCTCAGAACTGGGGAGAAAGGATTCTGTGTTTCTTAAAGAAATGTAACTTCGATTACTTTCAAATAGCTCAGTCACACAAGACAAACAGAACATTGCTGCCTGCAGTGGGCCCTGGACTGCCCGGCTGTGAAGGCACGGCCACCTCTTTCCACTGTCCACGCGGAATTAGCTTGGTGTGCCCTGTTACCCCTCCGAGGGAGTCCCACCACAACAGCCAGGGTTTACCGGATGGGGCGCATGCAGACAAATACGCTGAACTCGGTTTCTGCATGATACAAGTAAACAACTGCAGAAAAAGGTTTCCTTTTAAAACCAGGCCGGGAGGGGAGCTTATAAATCAGATTGGAGCACTTACCTCTTTGGCTAGAACCTGAGAGTACTCGATATCCAGTTCATACAGCGTTTCAATGTGATCGCTTGTAAACGCTATGGGAACCAAAAGAATGTTCTTCCTGCCCCTCTCGCAGAGTCCTTTGATGGTCTCGTCTGTTTGAGGGCCCAGCCAGGGCATCGGCCCAACCTGGGAGAAAGGGAGTGAATGATACAGGAACCTACTCCCACATCCCCCCCAAGACCCTTCCCCTGCACACACACAGCCATTAGGGCTTGTGCCACTAGACACCTGCTTTAATGGGTTTTGGTATTTCCACATCTAAGCTTGAGTCCTTCTAGAAGTTGGCAGAATGTAAACAAGTAACAGTTTCTGGCAGTATAAATGTGGATTCCTCCTTCCATCCTATCTGCTTACAAAGTTCTTTATACCCATGGTGAGCAATCCAGTTACAAACCAGTCTATGTGAAAAGGCCAAAGCTAATGGTTTTACTACTATGTTCTAAAATGTTACTGCTGCTGCTGTTGTTGTTGTTGTCATCGTCACTGAGTCAGTTCCGACTCACAGCAATCCTGTATAAGGGTTGCCAAGGAGCAGGTGGTGGGTTTGAACTGCCGACCTTGCGGTTAGCAGTCAAGTGCTTATCCTACACTGCCAGAGCAGGATCTCAGATAGACTTCCTTAACAGAGCTGATGGCCTGCAAGTGTGTGGGAGCCACCTACCTTGGACTGCCACACCAGTCGGTAAGGGTTGGAGTAGCCCAGCTTATCCATGACTCTTTGGACAGTGGCTCCGACCTCCTGAGGATAGGGGTCCCCTCTGTTGACCACCTGCAGCAGAGACACGGTGAAGGGCTGTGAGTCTAAGAATGAGTCCTCACTAATGAGAACTACAAGCTGAGCTTAATCGCCCAATGTCCTTGGGGCCATTGCCTCACCGGCTAAAGGAGAACGTCACATTCGGTGATCCCTAAGGGCCCTGAGAAGATGTAAAACTTTATATTCTAAATTATTCGTATTAACAACTATGATAGAGGGAAATGACAGAAAAATCAGGTAAGAAGTGTCAACATGGGGTGGGAATGTCTACGTTGGACATCACTTGAGATTTAAACAGTGTTGTGTGGACAAGGAGTCCCTGGATGGCACAAATGGTTCAACACTAGGCTACTAACCAAAAGGTCAGTGGAAGAAAGGCCTGGTGGTCTACTTCTAACAGATCACAACCATTGGAAACTCTACGGAGAGCTGGAGCTAACGTGATCGTAACTGGCTGGCTGGCTGGAGAATGTAGACAATGATTATGGGGGTTATGGGGACCAGGTGACCAAAAGAGGAGAATGCTAGCGGAATAGAGGAAGAAAGCAGCAGCCCATTAGAGGCTGCCCAAGAAGCTGACCTGTGCCTTCTTGTCCTAACGGACTGAGTCTAAGGCTCCAGGCACAGTGAGTACTGACAAGGACAGCTCATTCACCAGAGCCTTGTACACGCTCCAGGCCAATGTCACTGTAACTCCTGTCACCTTCAATTGTGTGTGGAGGTCCCCCACGCCTGCTGTGTGTCTCTCCACAGCACCTCTATGGAGTTCTGATGTGGTGCTATATAATAAACACTGGACTACTAACTGTAGGGAGTCCTGGGGTGGCAGTATATAATAAGTACCAGGCAGCACTGTCGGTCTGAACAAGGTTGAGGGATCAAACTCAGCAGCCACTCTTTTGAAATCTTACACAGCATCTGCATGGGTTGGAACAGCAACAACAGCATCTTGATAGCCTTTTCTGAGACACTACTTAATCATCTCCTTTCCACCTCCACCCTCTGGGTAGACTCTGGAATGTTTTGTTCTGTCTCACACCACAAACACTTAAAACAGCACCTGACCTATGTTATTGTTGTGAAGTGCCTTTGAGTAGGTTCTGACTCATAGTGACCCTGTATAAGGTTTCCAAGGGGTGAATGATGGATTCGATCACCAACCTGGCAGTTAGCAGTCTAGTACTTATCCTACAGTATCACACTAGGATTCCCGGGCATGTTGCTATTGTTAAGTGCCATCAAGTCAGTTCTGACTCATAGTCACCCCATATAAGATTTCCAAAGAGCAACTGGTGGGTTTGAACCACCAATCTTTCACTGAGCAGTTCCATGCTTACCCAATAGCACCACACCAGTAATATGTGCTTAAAAGATATTGTTGAAAGGAAATACTAACAAACTATTTTAAGATATTTCTAAAAGTTCATCAGAAAGTAATTGTTGTTGTTGTTGTTAAGTGCCGTGGGGTCAGTTCGGACTCATAGCGACCCTGTACAGGGTTTCTGAGGCTGTAAATCTTTACGGGAGCAGAAAGCCTCATTTTTCTCCCACGGAACAGCTGGTAGTTTCGAACTGCTGACTTTCAGGTTCGCAGTCCGATTTGTAACCACTATGCTACCAGAGCTCCTTAATTGTTTCTGGGGGGGAAAGTGGGGAGAGAGAGTAACCTGCTACAATTTGATGAACTTGACCTATATTTATGGATGTAGCAGCTCAAAAAAGGGAACAAATCTTTACAGCGAGGATCACTCCCAGCCCCTCGGTACACAGGGTTGACAGAGATGGGCAACTTAGACATTGGCTACCCAAAATGGCGGGGGTGGGGGCTTACTTACAAAGGCAAGAAGTGACTGGTTTACAAGCTTTCAAGAGGGAGCCTAGTTCCAGACAGGGCGGGGGAAGGTAGAATCACTACTGAAAGATTTCCAATAGGTTGGGACCAGGCTGGCGAAAGGAAATGGGGTAAGACTCTTGTGGTACAATAGTGAATAATTGCCATCAGGACTGACTGTGAGGGTAGGAAATATAAAGGTAAACGTTTTTTGACAAAAGAAGGAGAGTGATAGATTTTGCAGCCCAGGAGCGGAGGTTCCTGGGACCATCAAGTGAGAAGAACGGAGAACAGGACCCTACCCAGAGAGGCAGTGACGCCAAGGATGGACGCAGGGACAATGATAAGGACAGATGGAGCAGCTGGGGACACTGTACTCAGGGAGGGAGAGGGACTGTGTGCTGACAGCCGGAGGCGGGCCTGTGTGGTGTACCCTTTGGTTGTTTGATGAGGCATGGAGGGGACTGTAATCACTGCAATGAAAAGAAATGTGATAGGATGAGTATAAGGCTGATGTTCTCCCATGTAAACCTCACAATAAAAACTTAAAAAAAAAAAAAAGTAATTGTTGCTATTGTTAAGTGCTGTCGAGTCAGTTCAGACTCATAGCAACCCTGTATAGGGCTTCTGAGGAGCAACTGGTGAGTTTGAACCACCAACCTTGAGGTTAGCAGTCCAGTGCTTATCCTACAGCGCCACACCAGCACTCCACAAAGCCATTAAGATGTGTAAATGTAGAAGTTAACAGGGAGATAGAAGGTGCCACTTGGAGAACAGTTATTTCCCTAAGTCAGAGCTGTTAATTGCCCAAGGGTAATTTGGAACATAGGATTTTACATCTTCTCAGGGACTTTGGGGATCACTGGGTGTGATGACCTCCTTTTGCTGGTGAAGAATTAACCCAAGTGCAATAAGCAGCACCCATCGGTGGGTACTAAAATGAGTGGGCAGATGTCTGAGCAACAACAGGACATTTGCACCATCTCAAATATCTCACCCAAGAGATTCTCCATTCCAAACTTGACAACAGACAAATCCAGTTGTGGCCACCTCAGCCATGCATGTGGTCACGGCTCATGTCAGCAGCACACTGACACCATGCACCCCTAAGAGTTTAGGGGTCCAGCACCCCTGTGGTCCTTCTCAACGAAGCCTCAATCTGAACACAAGAAAATGTCAGACACAACCAGGAGAGACAGTCTACAAAGTACGTGTAAAACACCTCTTCAAAAGTGGCAAGGTCATGAACGAAGAGGACGAAAGCAAAAGCACCAACACTTTGGAAACCCTGGTGAAGTCTGAATAAACTCTGATACTTATTGAGCAGTGGTGTGACGTTGTGGGATAAGCACTGGGCTGCTAGCCGAAAGGTGAGCAGTTCAAACCCAGTAGTCACTCCTATACAGGGTCGCTATGAGTTGGAACCGACATGATGGCATGTAACAACAATAATGACATGGTATCAATGCTAAATGCTTAGTTTTGAACATTCCATATGGTGAGGTAGATGTTCACATTAGAGGAAGTGTGTGAAGGGTATAGGGAAACCTCTATAAAATTTTTGCTACTTTTCTATCAGTCAAAAACTTTTTTTTTTAAGTCATTAGAAGTGAATGCACAGAAAAATAAGAACTTGCTAGATAAACCATAGAAGAACTGATGCATTTGAGTTATGGTGTTGGAGGAGAATATTGAAAGTGCCATGGGCTGTCAAAAGAACCAATAGATCCATTCTGAAAGAAGTGCAGCCAGAGTGCTCCTTGGAGACCAAGATGACCAAACTTCGTCTCTCATACTTCGGACATATTGTCAGGAGGGAGCAGTTGCTGGAGAAGGATATCATGTTTGGTAAGGTGGAGGGTCAGAGAAAGAGAGGAAGACCCCCAACGAGATGGATTGGCCAAGTGGCAGCATAATGGGCTTAAGCGTGGTGACAATTGTGAAGTTGGCCCAGGACCAGGCAGGGTTTCATTCTGTTGTGCATAGGGTCGCTATGAGTCGCTACTCACTCAATGGCACCTAACAACAACAACAAACCTCTTGAGCTGAGCACTCCTCCCCACTTCTCATTCCCAAGGCTTCCTGGCATTCCTTGTTCCCACACGGGACCCTTAGGCATCAAAAACCTTAGAAGCAGCGAGTTCAGTCCCCGGGGAAAGACAAAGAAGCAAGGCCCGGCTGAGCTGAGGAGAGGCCACACCTGGAATCGTCCACATAAGAAACAAGTTTTCTCCTCTGTGAGTCGGGGCTTCCACTTTCAGCACCACAGACAAGGTCTCATCACACACAACGCGGTTACAAAAGGCATGAGGGAGGGCCTGGAAGGTGAGCCCATAGAGGCCTTGCAGGATACCAGAAAGGAGGAGGACATAAGCTTGTTGAAGTAAGGCCCTTGCAGGCTTCCAGAGGAGACATTTCTCCCCAGGGCCACCTACTGCTGGGATCAGGGAAGGGCTAGACACTGATGACCACCAGATGGCAGTAGAGGCCAGTTGTCAGAGTGACCCCCTAGACCCTCAGGTTAACTCTGTGGGGCCATTCATTCAAGCAACCCTAAGAACATCACTCTCCCCTCTCTCCACAGTTGAAAGCGATGTGTTTAGAGCAATGTTATCTCTGAGCCGAGATAACTGGTGAATATACCAGACAGCACACGAGCTTGATCATCTTATTTACAAAAGTGCATCAGCCATGAACAGACTGCAGTATGTGTGTGAACAGCCCACTGAACAGTGATAAACTATGGCACTGCCTGAATACAACTTGATACGCTCAATATTAACTAGCCACAGAGTGGCTCCCTAGTCCTAGCAAGTTAACAACTAGTTACTTTGTGGATTTCAAACAGACCCAACCAAGTATTCTGAGGCCATAGGCCTGGGGCTGAGTGTGCTTAGTCATCACGGAGGGCTGGAGGGCCTCCAGCTCAGTACACCAGATGCATCACCTTCTGGACCATCCAAAAATGTCTTCTCTGAAATGTATGTGTGTGAACAGCTCTTCAAACGAACATTTTATAAAGGTTTATTACATCAGCATCTATTTACCAGATGATACTTGAATTCACTGCTAGTAAGTTTCAGGACAACAACTGGTTTCAAAGGGTCTGTCTAATGAAATGAGCTCCCTGTAAATTGGGGTGGGGAGCTTCATGTTTGAACTATGTTTAGGGCTGTGGCAGCTGAGCCCATTTTACACATTTAGAAAATGAAAACAAACCAACCCCTGAACACAAAGTCACACCCAAAAAAACAGTTCTGACTTACAGACATTGGCAGTGAGTGGGCAGAAAAGAGAAGGACCACCTCGTTTCTCTTCTCCAGTGGAAAATGGTCCAGCTCTTTGAGAATGTGGTCTGCAAAGCACTGTGGGAAGATCAGAAAATGAGAATGAGAAGGATGTAGAATAAGGAAACAGGAGGGAAAGAAAACACTTATTAGATGAGAGCTAGACCAAACACCTCCTCAAAAACAAGCCTCAAAAATAGAAAATTTTCATCGATACCAGAGATGGAGGCAGAGATGGGGACAAGGAGAGAGGGAGCAGCTGAGGACTCTAGATTCATGGGAAGAGAGGGACTAAGTCAGCCAGGAGGCAGACTTGCAGCATGTGCCCTTTGATGGTGTAAATTATTATATATGCCTGAGTGTTGTTGTTGTTTTTTAAAAAAGAGCTAAAGTGAATAGAGATACTGTTAACTGATGGTCCATGGAGGGGATTATATAATCACTGTAATGAAACAAGGTGTATGATTTGTTGAATGTAAAACTGATGATCTGCCCTGTAAACTTTCACTCAATCCACAATAAATACCTTTAAAAAAATTAAAATTTAAATTTAAAAATTTTAATTTAAAGGAATGCGCTTTTTAAAAATATTGCAAACAGTCCAGCTGTGGGGGCTGCAGAGGGCTGTGGACGTGGGGGCTGTGGGAGTGGGAGGCTACAGGGGAGGGAGGGCTGCGGAGGGCTGCAGGGGCCTGGGGAATTTGATGGGAAACTTCTAAAGCCCACTAATGGCCCTGCTTCCCTGGGGAGGAGCAGGCACACTTCCAGATGGGAAGGAAGCGCAGATGGGAAGGAGAGGTTGTTTTAAGCCCTCTCATTTGCTCGGTTAGCAGGAAAACAGCTTACAGGGTCTTTCTCAATCTCCCTTAGTTCGGCTTTCAGGCATAACACATCTGACAGAAATAGGAGAGAGAAGACAAGCCGATTCTATTTTTATGGAGCCAACCTTCCTAAGGACCAATGAAAGGTTGTCCACCACCCCCCTAAGTTCACCTACGAGGGAACAGGCAGTGGGTTAGGGCGCCCATTCAGTCACATCTGTGGAACTTGGACTGGAAGGTGAGCCCGGCCCTTCCTCCCAACCTCTGTCCACCAGACCAATGAACTCCCTTATTCTCCTCGGCATTTTCTGATTCCCTTTTCTGATTAGGTGCTGAAATGCCAGATCTGAAGAGGTTGGCTTTCTTCTGGCGCTTTAATCTTTGTCATTTAAATTATAAAGGAAATGCTACAAAGGACACTGTAGGTCAATTGACAAAATCGGAACAAGAACAGAGATTCAGATCAAAATATCAATGTTCAATTTACTGAAGCTGAACACTTACGTATTGTTATGTGAGAAATACACATGAAAGTATTTAGATGTGATGGGTGATAGTGTGTCTAACTTACTCTCAAATGGTTCAGAAAAAAGTTATGTATTCGTATATAGAGACACACACACAGAGACCATGTAAATCATACAGCAAATGGGACATATATTAACACATACACATATGTTAATGGGTCAATCTCGGTACAGAATAAGGAGACCTGCTGGTGCTACTGAGAAAGCGCTGGGCTACTAGTCACAAGCTCAGGGGTTCAAACCCATCAGCAGCTCCTTGGGAACTCTATACAGGGTCTCTAACAACTCTTAACAACTAAGGCATTTAACAACAGCAGGTAAAGAATAGGGCGTCTGTTCCTTAAACCATTTTTATTTTTAGGCTTGCAACATCTATCTGCATGTTTAAAATTGACTCCAAATAAAAAGCATTTGAAATCATTATAAAGGATAATTGATCAGAACCAGGCCAATTTTCATTTGCTGGTATTTTCATGTATCTGTGGTTAATACTATAGAAACAGCAAGCTATTCCCTCAGAAGTATTGAAACATTCTTATCTTTCCAGAATCTCAAAAGTTGGAAATAAATATCCTAAAGCACAAAAAGGTGCCTAGAGAATGAGTTACAGTTTCAAAATTCCCTATATAACAGATTAAACGCAAACCAAAACAGTGCATTGATTTTAGTATTAGGTAACAAAGGGTGCTCAGAAAGGACGGATTTGGGTCAATAGCCTAGATGGAAGACCCACTTCCAAGTTTCTATTAAAAAAAAAAAAAAAAACCTGCTACCATCAGTACAATTCTGATCATAGCAACCCTGTATAGACCGTCCGAGGCTGTAAAGTTTTCCAAAGCAGAAAACCTTAACTGTCTCCCAGAGAGCAGTTGGTGGGTTTGAACTGCTGACCTTGAGGTTAGCAGTCCAATGCTTATTCTACAACACCATTAGCGATCCTGCAAAGTATTTATAGGAGTCTAAGATAAAAAGCAATGTTGGTCCATGTAAACTATCACTCAATTCACAATAAAAGCTTTAAAAAAAAAAGCTGGAGAGGAGTAAGAATGATTTGAGTACTGCAAAGAGAGATGTGAAATGTGAATTTAAAACAATATAAAGGTTTTTGTATTAATTCAGTTAAACAGCAAATCTCCTCACGTAATCTACATAATTTTAACAACGAAGACACATCACTTCCGACTTCAGTAAGTGAAAACACAGTTTATTCTGGCTTCGCATGGACTCCAATGTGGTCACCACCGTGGGCAGTGGCAGGCCAGTAGGAGTGCGGCAGGACCCCCGTCTGGCCCATCTGCAGGGTCTTCTGGGCGCAAGATCTCTGAGCAATGAAAGAGCCTTCATTCACACCGTCAGCAAGGACAGAGCAATGCCGGTGAAATCCCCTTTCATTTCATGAACAGACACTTCCTCAGTTAAGAGACCTTTCCATCTTTCCACTTCCCCCTTTTCAAAGGCCTGGCATGAATTTAAATGCAAATCTAATTACTCTTTCCATAGGGACAAGCAAATGCTGAGCAGACTCTTCCACCAACCTCCGCAGCCACACAGCAGTACTGACCTGAACCCCCCCAACCCCACACAAAATTCCCGATCACAGGCATCCAAGGGCCAGACTGTGTGTGTGTGGGGGGGGGGGGGAACGTGGTGCCCAACAAACAGGTGGTTGGACACATGGACCAAAAGTATACCCATCTCCAAGGCAAGGCCCCTTCGTTTCACTTTTTACTGAACACAAAATTTCAACCCCCGTTAATCCCCTGCATCAAATGTAGGACTCAGGAATGCGTTCTGCTCTGGGGAGAACTAGCCAGAGTTTAATGATGTCTAGCGCCATCTAGTGGCAGTGGTTTTTTAAGTGTGACTGGGATTTTTAAAAAGTTATTAACTTGGTGTTTTCCTAGAAGTTAGAGAATACTCATGGAATAACAAATGGACTGGGTGAGAGCTAAATCACTTAATATTTCCTCTACATGAAATAACTTCCACAAAACAACAACAACATATTTGCAACTACCAACAACATTCTCATATTCAAAGGGCAGAAGACCAACAATAATATCAATTCAAAGCCACTAGCTCTAAAATGGAGTCCTGGTGGGGCGCTGCGGGCTAATACACTGGACTGCAAAGTCAGTCTGATCCCCAAGAGCGGCGGTTCAAACACACCAGTTGCTCCTAGGAAACCCTATACAGAACTGACTCAACAGCATTTAACTACTTTAAAATTATAGTTTTAACTAGTTTTCCTAAAATCAAGGAACTAATTAACATCAATCCTATCAACATAAATTATGTAGAATAAATGTGTATGCAGATAAATGCCACAGGCCTTTTCATACATGAAACTTTCTTAGATGAAATGTTAGCTTTATTTTCAGGTCTCCAAATACAGATATAGGTTATGTTTAAATTTTTTAATCTGTCAAAATTTGTAAGTATTTGAAAAGAGAAGATTTTATTTCATTTGTCCATTGTACAATCTATGAAAGCACACTGGAATGTGGTTCACCACAGCTGTGATACCAGGCAAGCTCTTTGTTAATGTTCTTCTGGCCTTTGTGAATACAGAACTCAGCAGACAAGTTTTGCTACCGTCTATGATAAACAGCCGGACTTCTGGTGTGGTGCTGTAGGATCAGCACTGGACTGCGAGCCACAAGGTCAGAAGTTCAAACCCACCAGCCACTCTCTTGGAAACCCTATACAGGGTCGCTGTGAGTAAGAACCGGCTCAACAGTCCTTCGCAACAACATGATTACCAGCGGTAATCTGAAGAGAAGAGTCTCACCATTTTAATCTTTAAATCTGCTTCTCTTTCTTAAAATAAGCCAAGAATTTAATACCTTTTTTAATCCCCAGCACACAATTCAAGCCAAGAAGAGTAAGGTTGGGAAGGACGTGCACCTGGCTCACACCTGTGAGTAGGCAAGGACGCCGGCCTGCCTTACCTGGATGAGGAGGGGATGCGTGGGCCACCTGTCTATGGCGCTCCACTTCATGGTCGGCTTCTTCCCCATTCCACTGTAATATCTGTAAATAGCATTTAAGCTGCTGCCTGCAATATACAGGGACCACTTTGTAAATGCATGTTGATTATGATGGAAATTTAAAAACAGATTAAGAAACTCAGTAACTACAAGTTCAAAGTAGGTGACTGCTTCCATACCTAATCAGTCTAATTACAGTCATTTCAATACTTTATAATATGCATATAGACTGAACTACTCTGCAAATGAGGATCCTGCAAAAGTAATCAATTTCAACAGACTTTCAAAGATTACTGAAGCCATTTCTAGTGAGAAACACAATGGCCACGGATTTATGAACTAGAAGCAGTTGTTGTAAAAACCAAGTCGTTGTAAAAACCAAGTCTCACAACTGAAAGCATACTAAATCTTTCCCCCTATTATGAGGGAACTGTAGGGGGAGTAGGAGAGGAAAGGGAGTAGTCAGCCACGACCCCACTATGTGGAGACTGTCAGAGCCTCTAGTAACTCTTCTCTGCAGAATAGATGCAATTCTGGATCCTGAGTACCTTGGACATTTTTTCCTGCATCTTATGAGATAAGTGGTTTCTGTGTTACTACAAAACATTTCTAATCATCCCTTTAAATAGCTTCGTGGCAAGGAGAGGGGCTTCTTGAGGTTTCCATAAGCGCTATTTTCATCTGCTTTTACAAAATTATCATCATTCCTGAGGATGTGTTAAAGGGATACCTAATCCTCACAGGTAACCTAACATCTAAGCAAGAGATGGAGATCACGAAAACGCAGAGCCTGAACAAAAGCAGACAGATGGTGCCAACTCACAACACACCTTCTTCCTGGCCCAGGGAGGCAGTAATGGGGCCTTAAGCTGAAGAAGGGGTCCCATCCTGGGCCTCTCCTTCAGTCCCAATGGGTAAGTCCTGCACCCTTTCCTGGCTTCCAGCTCCCACTCACTGCTTTCTCTAGTTCTCCAGTCAGGTTTCCCGCTGAAAACGTTAGTCAGAGCAGAATTGTCTCTCAGATCCAAAGTGCTCTTAGGCTAAAACAACGTTCAAAACTGAAATCGGTTTAACAGCAATGAGTGGAGTGCCTGAGTCAGAGGGCTCAAACGGACTCCACTCCTGGCTCAAAGCCATCTCGAATGAAGCCACAAAGTAATCACCACAGTCACGTTCCAAGCCACATTTTACAGAGGACCATCATTTTCAAAATATACTAAAGGCCTTCCAGAAATGACATGAGGTATTTTGAATCACTTAGAAACATCCAATGAACTAGCAAGAGGAATAGTTAGGAAGGGGGAAAATATACCTTCAGAAAATGCCTGAGATCAGTATTGTTGTTGTGTGCCATACCATTGTAGCTAGCCTCTAGGACCGAGCAGAACAACCCCCCAGGGTTTCCAAGCCTGTCATCTTTATCGACACCCACAGCCACATCTCTTTCCTACAAACTGCTGACCTTCTGGTTAGCGGCAGAGTCTTAAGCACGGCCCCCAGATAGCTACATGAGCTCTCTGTAATGCTGAGTGTCTAAATGGCACACTAGGTAAGTGTGGCGCATGGGAATGAATGTGCTCCTGGAGGTTCACCCAGATCTGCAGTAAAGACCTCTCCCACCTCATACAGGAGAAATGCAAGACAAGTGAGCAGACACTGAGGTTTTAAATATGCAGTGAGAGGAAACCTGGAGTCATCAAATCTGTGGTCAGGTAAGTAACCATCTTCTTAACTCACTTCATTCTCAAGAGTTTTACATTTTAATTTTTTAAAGGAAGGCATTAAGTATAGTTTAAAAATTTCTAAGATTGAATTCATTCTCCAGGAATCTATGGCCAGATATTTTGAAGTTGTAGAAGTTGTATTTCCAAAAGCAATTATAATTCCTATTCTTGGCGGTATCTGCAAACGCAGGCATTTTAATAGCAGACTGGTGTTCCAAACAAATATTTAAAGCACATAACAGACAGTGGATATTTCTCCCAGCAGGCCTCTCACCTCTTATAATGATGAAACAATATATACTAACAGTAAAAAACAATTTGGGAATAAAATATGTTGGTCACAGCCCCTGAGATAGGACATAGACAATGTTTTTGTGGGTGACGGTAGACGTTCTGCCTATAATTAATGACACAGAAATTGCCAAACATGGGTCATTCTCCAGTTCCCATTAAATAGACAGTAAACAGCAAACAGTAATACTTTGCAAAAATCCCAATACATTGGGAAATCAGGAAAGAGACACCCAAAGTAGGCTTTACCAGTAACCAACCCATAACTGGCCCATAACATAAAGATACCAATATGTATTTCCAGTGTTACGTTATAAGGCAACTCTTGCTTTCAAAATGGAAAGAGCTGTTAGCACCTTTTCTTCATTCATCAGAATATGAAGGGGCTTCAAAAAGTTTGTGGGAAAATGGAAATAAAAGATCATGGAATTTTTCCACAAACTTTCTGAAGTTCACTTGCATTAGGGTAGCAATAAAAATTAGGTTTCTTACACACAGCTCAAAGGTGGCTTCAGGTTCATTATTGGTCCATTACACAAAGCTTGACCGCTCTTGGCCACTGTCTCCCCAGTACCATTTGTAATTCTTGCAGACTAGCCAATAACTCAAGGGACAGATGAACCATGAGATTTCAATAGACGGACCTGAATGCCCGTGTTTAAAAGGAGACAGGTCTGATTTGCCATTCAAATCTCCAATGACTGATCCTTTCCTTCAGTGCTCAGGCTGCCCCACCCCCCATTTTAGAAATGCCATCCTTACCTGTGGTGGAACAGCTGTACTGTGGATACTGTGTGAAGGCAATAGCCCTTTCCAGTCCATCTCTCTCCATCTCTTCAATTGCTTCTTCGGTTAAAGGATGGACATACCGAAATCCAATATAGTATTTGTGAGGGGCTATTAGGAAGCACGTGCGGAAAGGAGAAAGTATGAATCTTTATATAGATTTCTTGGAGTCACCGAACATAATGCAATGCCCAGATGAACACCAGTTAATCCAATTTCCTCTGATGCTGAATAGGTGGGCAATTGTAGACTATTCCTTGGATCATACCCTGTCTTTGGCTGGTACATCGACGTTAATCACTATTTTCCAGGATCAAACAGAACAACTGTTTTTAAAACAAGACTCTGCTCTTAACTCAAGAAAGAAGGAATGAATAAACACTTATTCTAAAGTGTAACCCCTCATGTAGTCCCCCAAGACGCTTCCTTTTTTCCTTCTGTAATTAAACCCCATTTTCAAATAAGGAAGTAGAGACTCTGAGAGGTTAGCTCACCTGCCCAAGGTCACACCCAGAAGATGGTCCATCTAGAATTATGGCCTGGGTCCCCCCACACCAAAGCTCATGTTCACTCCACATCCCAACCTGCTGTTACCTTAGCCCCCCAGATCACCAGGTGTATATGACCAAATATAAGTGCATCATTTCACATATGCTGGGATGCTCGATAAAAGTTCACTGATGCTAAATCATCAAGACGACTGTCCTGATTTAACATACAGAAAACGACAATGGTTCTTGGAGTGGAGGTTCCAAGTGGGATTTAAAGTCTTTGTTACTGGCACCTAAGTGGGGTGACCCAGACCAACAGGCCACTTTGTGATCCTCCCACCAACATCTCCTCCTACCTCTTCCATCCCCTGCTTCTTCTCAGCCTCTGGATTTCAGAAGCTTACACAAACACACACTTTCCTTTTTGCTCTAGTTGTCATGAAGTCAATGCTAATTTATGGAGACACCCTGTGTGTTAAGGAGATCACCAGGTCTTTCTTCCAAGACATCTCTCAGTGAATTCAAATTTCCAACCTTGTGGTGAGCAGCCAAGTCTACAAACGGGCTGCACTGTGCAAGAACCCCCACGATTTCTTTGGTAGCTACAAAATCATAGACCTGAAAGTGACCCAGTCTATTTCTTTGTCACGTCATAAGATTATACTCAAATTATACTAAGAGATGACACTGAGAATACATTACACAAATGCTCTTGTTGTTAAGTGCCGTCGAGTTGATTCCAATAGTGACCCTGTATAGGGATTCTGAGGAGCGACTGGTGAGCTTGAACTGCCGACCTCATGGTTCAAACCAACTTTGCAGTCCAGCGTATTAACCCACAGTACCACACCAGACTACTATAAGGGGAAGCTTATATATGCATGGAATGGATGGTCCAATTACTTGGTTGAGGAATTTGAAAAAGGGGGAAGGAAGGGTCTAAATTAAATCATTTAGAGCTGCCCACCCTCCTTGTTTTTGTTAAGTGCCGTCGAGTCGTTCCCAACTCTACTTCTGAAGAGCAAGCTGGTGGGTTTGAACCACTGACCTTGCAGTTAACAGTCCAGTGCTTACCCTACAGCGCCACAGCACAACCCCAGGCTACCCATTTTATGTTTTCTTTAATAAAATCTGGTATATTACAGTGACAATCAGCCAGAGGACATGACTCTGTAAGCGAGCTCAAATTACGGTTTATGCAGATATCATGTGGTTCCTGCTAAAACTGCCCACAGTAACAATGTCATTAAGTGCCTTTCTAAACAACTCCAGGTGATGGGAGCTAAGCTTTAAGTGGACTTTGCTTTCTAATCTATTTTAAGACAATACAATGATCACACTGACACTGCAGCCAATCAGCGAGCTTCCCACATTCCTTGTCACCCATGCAATATCTCCAAGTTGCAGTCTGGAGTGTAGAGGTTCCATCAACACTGCAGACTGGGAGAGGCAGAGAGGCTGCTGGGTAGATAAAGGCAGTGTGGGTACATGACTTCTGAAGTGAGAAAGAGAGTTCTGGAAAGAACAGATAACTCTTTCTCACCAGTCCAGTTGGAGATGGTGGGCAGTGGGGTTTGTGAGAGGCATGGCAGGATGGACTCTGACTGGGCCCAACCCACAGACTGGCTGTCCCAGTGGAGTGAGGAGCGGAAGGTGTCCATGTTGTGAGCAACATGTCTGGTGAGCGTGAGAGCAACATGCAAGATGCCGGTGCAGCCCACTTGCCATCCAGAGCAGCTGCCCGGTAAACATTCTTGGCAAGAACCACAAAAAGGGGGAAAGGAGCAGAAAAACTGGGTTTTCCAACAGTAAAGCATCATTTGTTTGCAACACATTCATTCAGAAACATGTTAGTGCAAACACAGTGCACTTTAAGAGAAAGGTCTGAAATTCATGCTTTTGAATTTCTGTTGTATCATGACCCCTATGGCAACAATGAATGACAATAAAAGCTCATGCTTGTTGAATTCTTGTCATGTGCCAGACAGCATCCTGACCCCCTTGAGGACTAGGTGGTGTCAGTTTTACCAGGTCTATGTAAACAGAAGGCACACTTGGACCCATTGCATCTCCTGTCAAGGACAAGTGACCCATTTTACTGATGACAGTGTTCTTACAGCTTCCTTGGAAGTCACAAGCCAAGCAAACTCTAGTTTTTAATTGCTTAGGTTTAAAGTTTTCACTAGTCTATAAATAACTGTAAAGTTGTATAACTATAGGAAACCAATTTCAACTCACAGTCCCTGATATAACTCACTGTTAGGTAAATTAGCCAACTCTACGTAAAACCAGCGGCTCTCGAAATTTCCACACTGGCAAACAAGCAATGCCTACTTCGCTAGAAAACAAGTGCGTGACATCTTGATGCTTGCTTGTGATCTGTGCATCTTCTTTACAGAAGAGAACATTTCTGAATAGAGATGAATAAATGCTGTCTAAAAAATAAACTATCATTTCCTATGGAAGGATAGGAAAGAGCGAGGAATAAAGGAGAAAAGACAGAGAAATAAAAACAGAGACAGCAGGAAGGGAAGACAAGTGAAAAGGGAGGGGAGTGACTGACAGTACCCCCCCACCCCCCAAAAAAAAACGGGTATGCAGGTCTTTAGCACCAGGTTTCACATCAGGCCAGACTGGGTTCACCTTTCCAGGCAGTCTGCAACAGAACCCACAGTCATCCTTGGTGATCTTCTGAGTCTTCAAAGCAAAATTTCCCCATTAGGCATCTCTGAGCCCCAGGCCCCAGGTACACCTCACTGTGCCGTGCCGTGCACACATGGCATTTGTCACAAATGGAAGCTGTGTGGCCACTCTGAGTCAGGCAAGTCTACCAGCACCGTTTCTCCCACACACGCTCACTTTGCGTCGTCGTGTCAGATTCTGGTCATCTTCCTATTTCAGACTTTTTCATAATCTATTGCACATTTAGCAGACTACAGTACAGTGCAGACATCACTTTTATACACACTGAGAAACCAAAGCTTAGTGTGACTATGGTGCCTTGACTGCGGTGGTCTGGAACCAAGCCCACAGCATCTCGAGGTGTGCCTGGATCTCGTTTATCCTCTCTCCAGCTGTCTGCAGCATCACCAGACCCTCACCCCTCACATGCATTCTGGGTGGCACCTCTCCAGCAAGCCTTCCTCTGCCCCTTAGGCAGACTGGCCTGAGGGAGCAGCGAGCTCCTACCAGAAGGAAGGTTCCTTGTAGGTAGAAACCGTATTTTCCTACTTGGAATAGCAGCACAGAGCAGTTCCAGGCAGTCTACAATGGGCTGCTGCTGAAGAGGTGGATAGACGGAGGGAGGGAGTGAGAAAGGGGTGGATGGAAGGAAGGAAACAAGGAGGGAGGGAGGGAGAGAAGGAGGGATGGACAGATGATGGAGGGACAGAGGCCTGGAGGAATGGATGGCCGTGGGCCTCATTTAGTGCCATAGCCAGGTCTCCCCAGCAGGTCTGCTGAAATGAAATGTTTCGGTGGTCATTGACCATGAAGAGAAAGCTTTTAAGTTCCACTTGTCTGCCTCAGAGGATCCCAAGTGTGGGCCTAATAGGATGGTGATATTCCAGTGGGTCCTTAGGACACAGTCCAGGACAAGCTTCCAAGATCCAGAGAAACCAAAATCACCACCAAGAGCACTTGCTTCCTGCCTACTGAATAAGAAGGTGGAGGAGCAGCTGTCCCGGTCAGCACTACACCTGCCGTATGGTCAGTGTCTGTGCACAGTGGACGAAGGACAATGTGGCTGACACAATGAGAGTGTGGGTGGGTGAATGGAAGGGGGAAGGTGGTCTCTCGCTGCTTCATCAGTCAGTGACTTAGTGCCGGGACAGGCGAGCCTCTGGGCTGACCTTCTTGACCCTAGACTTACCTGTATTCAAAAGAACCCATTTTGAAATCACTTTCACAATAATTTTTACTATGCGTCAGACTGCAAAGTTTTTTGAGCTGCAAGGTCGGTGGTTCAAGCTTACCAGCTGCTCCCTGGAAACCCTATACAGGGTCACTATAGGTTGGAATCAACTCGACGGCACTTAACAACAACACAACAAAGTACAAAGAAGGTACCGTTATCCTTTGATTCCTCCCAAAGCAGAGAAGTAGTCCTAGACTCTACAGCCTTGTAACTTGCTCTCTGTGCACTAACAAGGCCATATCTTACCATGGCCGCCCTTTCATTAAATCCAGGTCATGTTGTGGGACCCTGTCCAGAGTCACACAGCTGACCTGCCTGGTCTGGACAGGCAGCAGCCTCTGCGCAGCGTCGAGGAGGAGGCAGGATGCCCCCATCGCATTCCTGTTTCATGTCTGACAGTTCCGCAGGGCCCTTCATGGTGATAGGCCACAGCAGCAGACACGAGGAAACAGCTTCTTTCTGCCTCTTCCTCCTCCTCAGTGCACAGCTCATCCACGGCTATCGAGCAGGTGTGAGTGGACGTCAACCAAGCTGGCCTCACCCGACATTTAACAAGCTGCCTGGTGGCTGCCGTGCCTGCACGGTGTTGGGAGGTGTAAGTAATGCCCTTGAACCACAACTGAAGGCTGGAATATTCACAAACACAACGACGTCATCTTCTGAGTGAGACAAGCTGCCCGGTGGGCTGACGTCTGCCCTCTGTGCAGTGGGAACACACAGGGGCGCGGTCCCAGGGGAGAGGGAAAACTGCTTTGGATCATGCTGAGCCAGGAGGTTCTCTGTGAGAGTCCCCATTGTGCCATACTCATGTCCCGCTCTGAGCATCTACAATAGCTGAGGCCTGCTGTTGTAGTTAACTGCCATCTAGTCGGGCCTCAGCACATCATGCACAAAGGAATCAGATGCACAGGGTTTTAACTGGCCCATCTTTTGGAAGTAGGTCACCAGGCCATTTTTTCCTACATCTTAGTCTAGAAGCTCTGCTGAGACCTGTTCAACATCCTAGCAACGCACAATCCAGCATCCTAGCAACGCACAAGCCAGCATCCTAGCAACGCACAAGCCAGCATCCTAGCAACACACAAGCCAGCATCCTAGCAACGAACTAGCCAGCATCCTAGCAATGCATAAGCCTGCACTGACAGACATGGGGTGTAGTACCTGAGAGGTATTTGGCCAGGAACTGAATTCAGGTCTCCTGCACAGATAGAAACTCTAACCACTGGACCACTACTGCCCGGCACAGTGGTGAGTGTCACCAGACAGCAGGGGACCATATCTGGAAAGAGGGTCTTTGCAGATGCAGTTATGGTAAAGATCTCAAGATCAAATCATCCAACCTCATAAGAAACAGGAAAGGACAGAGACAGGGAAGACAGCCATGGGAAGATGGAGGCAGAGACTGGAGTGTGAGAGTCACAACCAAAAAGTCCGGAACCACCAGAGTTGAAGAGAGAATGAAGGGTCCTCCAGAACCTCAGGAGGGAGTGCAGCCCCCAGGACAGCCTGGTTTCAGATTCCTGGTCTCCTCAACTGTGAAAGATGCATTTCTGTTGTTTTAAACTGCCCAGTTAGTAACAACTTATTGTGGCTCCCCTAGGAAAGATAATGCATTCAGTGTAATTGGTACTGTTTTCTATTTCTTTTGTTATACCTGAGATCTATAACATACAAGCAACATGTGTGTGTGTTTACCTATCATCTCATGTGTTATCTGACATTTCGTATTTACAATGGGAAAACATCGACCTGGCTAGTCTGCGCATTAATGATGTCCAACAGGCAGTAATGAAAGTCAAGGTGGGAGGCGAGAATGACGCTGGCTGGGATGGTTAAAGCTATGCGTCAATGTGGCTGGGCCGAGATTCTCAATGGTCGGGCAGTTACGTGATGATGCAATCTGACAGTCATACAATGTTGCAGTCATGCTCTGCTTTGTGATCTGACATGTTCATCCTCCATTTGACCTGGTCTTTGGAACGTAGCCATGTTGGTAAGTGAGCCAGGGATGTGTGTGTAGCACATATCTATAACATATATACACTCGATGGTGTGTCTGCAATCAACGAGGCCTGGATGCATTTATACAGGGCACTTGGGAGTTCATTCATGTCTTCAGTGTGCTAACTCTACACGTTAGTGTTTGTGCGTGACAGGTCCTCAGAGGTCTGATTTGTGTTGCCCTAATGGATGCTGTCCTCTCTCTAGTGACAGGTCCAAGGAGGCACTTAAACTCCTTACAGTGGGGGGAGCACCGAGTGCCGACAGCAGATGCTGAGTGCTGCTCGTGGCTTCAGGGATAGCTAGCTAACTCTGCTCGTGGCTTCAGGGATAGCTAGCTTACTCTGCTCTAATGGCGTCTGCGGAGCTGGTGATCTCATTAGCCGTCCACCCAGAAAGAAAAGGCAATAGTCGTAGCCTTAATCCATTTCCCATAGATTGCTTCCAACTGCAATGATGTATGCGTCTTTTATTCATGGTGCCCTTGCCTTATAATCCTGCTCAATTGAACACACATCTCCAACTTCCTTTTGAAGCTAATGTCCTGAATCTTTAGCTTTTTTTATCTACAACGTTAGGAAGCAAACAAAAAGGCTACCAGTCAAGGACAATGCCACATGAGTTGAGTTAAGAGAATACCATGTATTATGAGAAAGTCCCCCAAATCAAGAGCTCCTAGAACACAAAACTATGTTCAGCATCCATTTTCAACATTGAAAGAGCACACCTGGAGCGATGCCAACTACAGAGCTTGTTACCTGTGTTGGGGGACATCTCGTCCAACAGCTTCACCATCCCTTCACCTTGCTTGGACGTCCACAGCTTGATGGGGGACCCGCCGCCAATCCTCCGATACTGCTCTTGGATTCTGGGGGTTCGGCGTTTGGCGATGATTGGTGCCAGCTTACTAAATCAGTTAACACGTAAGTAAGTTGATTTTATCCCCCCTTAATAACACGAGAAACATTTTTCACTTAATTAAAAAAAAAGATAAGCAGAATTTTAAGCTGAGCCTAACAAGATCAAGACTTTAAAAATACAAAGCTTAAGGTCATGGACAATAGCCAGCTCTGCAGTCCATCTCAGAGAGAGAGCTGGACATTCCTAAGCAGTGTGTACCTCTTCCCCCCGGAGATTCAGGACACCAAACACCATGCAAAGTGCCCTCGCTAGTCCTCAGGGTATGCATCAAGCAACAATGAGACATAAATCCTATGAAGCATATATCCCTCTTTGGTTAAAAAGGTACATAGACTCCTACAGATACATTTGCATTTGTGAGCAAAGATATCTGTGCAAGGATGTTCACTGCAACCATGCAAACCTCTCAGTGAAACACTGACTAAATCAGTGAAGGCACAAGCATGCAATGCAATTCTGTACAGTCATGAAAAAGAGAGGTCACCTGTATTTAAATCTGTCATAGAACTCTCTTCTAAGTGTCAAAAATAAATAGCAAATGCCAAACAATGTACGGAGTGCCCTCACATTTGTATAAAGAAGGGGAGGGAATATATATGTATATGGAGTTAATGCACCCAGCTAGCGGGAAGATGGAGGATTTGAGTCCACCCAGAGATACTGCGGAAGAAAGTCCTGGCAATCTACTTCCAGGAAACCAGCCATTGAAAACCTATTGAGCACAGTGCTGTTCTACCCTGATGTAAAATGGAGTGCAACTGGTACTGGGGTGTGTGTACATACACTGTTGTTGTTGTTGTTCAAGTGTCACTGAGCTGGTTCCAAACCACAAGGACCTTGTATATAGTTTCCAAGGAACAGCTGGTGGATTTGAACCACCGATCTTGTAGTCAGCAGTCTGGTGCTTTCCCTGCAGTGCCACATCAGGACACACATGCACGTATATATGAGGGTGCTTCAAAAAGTGTGTGGAAAATGGAATTAAAGATAATGGAGTTTTCCCACACACTTTTAGAAGTCCCTTTGTATATCTACCTGGATACTCATGCACTATTTCTGTGTGTAACAGAGCTCACCTCTAGGGTGGGGTCCAAGGTTAAAGGGATACTGCAAATACCTTTATGCTATTTATATTTTTTATAATATGCATGTATTAATTTTTCACAACACAACTATTCTGAAAGGAGGAGAGAAAGCAAAGGAAGAGGAGAACCCCAAGACTATGGTCCTCAGACACCCTTCAAACCTGGGATTGAGCCAACCCCCAGAGATCACCTTTCAACAAAACAATAGACAGATCGACAAAGGGAACACTCATCACACTGCTGAGGAACTTGCTCCTTGGATCAACCAACCACATGAGGCAAAAAAGTTCAAATAGGAGGAGGGAGCAGGAAAGATGGAAAGGTGAATGGAAACAGGAAACCGAGGGAGGAAGTGGGAAGAGTGCTGTTGTATTTGAAGGGACTGGAACTAATGTCAAGAAACAAAATATGGACGAATTGGTGCATGAGAACCTCATTTGCTTTGTAAACTTTCACACTCATGTAATGTGACGAAGAGAGGCCAGAGAATAGAATTCACAAGACAATTGAGTAATCGCCACTGTTGCCCTGAATGTTAATCAGCTGTTAAATGTAAAGTATAAATCTATCTCTAAAGATACTTGGGCTATGTCAACACAGCCCCAATCTCCAAGGGCTCTGTGGATTACAACCTTTTTTTAAAAAAGAAACACCTGCAGCCTTGAGATACAAACAGAGACAAAACACCCTCCCTAAGGTGTGACAAGGCTGAGGTGTTTAAGGAGCTTACTTTTGCAGTGGCAGTGTCATGAGGTCCCGGTCCAAGAAGAGCCTGAGCAGGAAGTCGTGCACCTCTCCGAGAGTTTCAGGGCCTCCCATGTTCAGCATCAGCACCCCTGTTCTGGGCTTCCTACACAAAATACAATGCAGAGGTTGACATGAAATGGTGCGGGCGTTCCACGAGTGTCTTAGTTATCCAGTGCTGCTTAACAGAAATACCACAGGAGGAAGATGCAGGAGAAGCACTAGACTAGGAGCCCCAAGGTTGGCGGTTTGAGCCCACCAGCCATTCTTCAGGAGAAAGATGAGGTGTCCTGCTATGGTAAAGATTTAAAGACCTGGAAACCCTAAACAGGGCCACTAGGAATCAGAACCAACTCAATGATACTAACAGCAACACAGGCTCTGCAGAAAGAGCCCTGTCTCCATTGAGCATCTGCAGGCCCAGCATTCCTTAGAGATCTCCATGCGGCTTGCCACCAACCTTCTCCTGGACCTGGGAACGTCACTGTACAGAGACCCTGGTGTAAAGGACACACTTCATCCCCAGCTCTTCATTCTTGGTGGTAGCAGGTCCCTCTTTCTCTACTCGCTTCTCTCTCCTTTTATCTCTTGTAAGATCAAAAGTGTTGAAAGCACACCCTTGGGAAGCTCAGGGTTGTCATGGAATTAAGGGTATTGCAGTACACCCTTTATCCTTCAATTGCCTTATCGGATCAGATCACACCAGGCAGAATCATCCCACGAATGCCAGCTTACATCATTACGTGAAAGTCACGACCCAGTCAACTCGATACACACTTTGAGGGGAACACAATTCAATCTGTGACACAAAGCAAGCTATCATCCAGTCTACAGGACACAAAGGTCAAGACCACAGACTCTCAAGGTCATCACCTGACTGTCCGTCCAGGGTCTAGCTTAGACACTGGCCTTCGTTTCCTGGTTCTACTAAGTGACACGTAGCTGCGCTTGGTTGGAAATGCTTCTCTTTTCAACTGTCAGCCCTCAACAAAGAGCCCTCCCGTCTGGGGACTGAGAGTTAAGGTGGAAATCTAAAACCGCCCTGAGGCTCAGGCACCTGTACATTAGGCTGCCTTCTGCATACACAGGTTACCTCCAGATGTGGGGTCCTCACTGTGAGGCAAGAGAGAGCCACCACCCACCTCAAAAGGTTGTGCTGAGAATCAAATCAAGGTTCCTAGGTGGTGCAGATGGTGTGCACTCCACCACTCACCTCACGCTCGATGTTCGCCCCCACACAGCAGCACCCCGAAAGAGTGGCTCAGTGGTCTGCTTCTGCTAAGAAGACAGCTGAGAAACCACTCCGGCGCAGTGCTCTCTGTCCAATCCCACTAGACGGCAACGTGCCTGGACTTTCACCTGTTCATACTTGAGTCACTTAGCGCAAGGAGCCCTGGTAACGTAGTGGGTTACATACTGGGCTGCAAACCACAAGGTCAGCAGTTTGAATCTACCAGCTGCTCTGTGGGAGAAAGATGAGACTTCTGCTCCCGTAAAAATTTACAAAAGTCCTGGTGTGGTGCTATAGGATAAGCACTGAACTTCAAGGTCGGTATAAACCCACCAGCCTCGCCTCAGAAACCCTATACAGGATGGCTATGAGTCAGAACTGACTCCACAGCACACCACCACCATGTATCCTTGATAGAACCAGTAGACGAGACGGTCACTTAGCTCCTCAGACACATAGCAAGTTCTATTATGCACAGAGACGTCATGGGTTTCCCTATCATCCTTTAAACCTCCAAAGCATAATAGCAGCCCATTTCTCACTCTCTTTAGACCAGTAAGTAATGACTAACTTGAATTATTTCTTGCTACTCTGCTCCATTCTCCAGCCACTGCCCCTACCCTGTCCTGAGGGTTTCCAGCTACGATAAACTACATTTCTCACTTTACACTCATCCCTACACCCTTCTTGTAAATCCGTGTCTTCACATAATACCTGTAAGAAATGGCTCCAACTTACTCATTCAAATACTGAATAAACAAAAGGAAGCAAAACTCTATAATGAAAGTTTTCAGTCAGGCAGCTTCTGGACAAGACAAAGCAGAAGTTCTGTGTAAAACTGTAAACATCTAATAATCCAACAGCACAAGAGGTCCTCACAGCCCGAAGTGAACCAAACCGGGAAGTCTATTCGTAAGCCTCACATGAGGCAACGGGGAGCCACACTGGGGTCATGCGCCTCCCACACGCCCAGTGGGTGCTGAGCATCCCCAACACAACAGTGGGGTGACTAGAGGTCAACTGAAGGCCAAAGGGTCTTTTTGTCTTTTTTGCACACTTTTTAAAATTGAAAGATAATTCTTAAACCATAGAGTTCACCTGTTTAAAATGTACAGCTCTATGGTTTTTGAGGATATTCACAAGGTTGTACCATCACCAACCACTACCCCTTATTTAATTCCAGAATATTCTCATCATCCTTAAAAGAAGCTCCAACCCATCAGAGTTACTCACCAACTCAGAGCAACCCAGCATAGGGTTTCCGAAGAGCAACTGGTGAGTTTGAACCACCGACCTTGAGGTTCAACCCAACCTTGCGGTCCAGTGATTATCCCACAGCACTATACCAGGAGCTATGTGTCAAATTTCTCCAGGGGGAAACCATTCTCTTGATCAAACAGTGAGGCAGAAACCTGAATTCTCAGGCTAGGCTTCAGACTAAGGACTGATTCCTAGGAGGGGAAATGTTGTGCTGCAATGAAGCCAGGACTTTTTCTAGGTTACACCCCTTGTAAGAAATAATTAACTAAAATGGCGCCCTGGTGGCATAATGGCTAAGCATTCAGCTGCTAACCAGAAGTTGGTGGCTCAAGCCTACCAGTTGCCCTGTAGGAGAAAGAGGTGGCATTCTGCTTCCTTATAAATGACAACTGTGGAGACCCTATAGAGCAGCTCTACTCTGTCCTATACAGGGTCACATGAGTTGGAATCACCTGCCAGCAATAGGCTTTCCTGTTTTTTTTTAATAAAGATTACGACCACTTTTCACACCATTGCCTCAGACCAAGGTTTCTCAACCTCTGACCTACTGACATTCTATGAGGGGTGATTATTTCTAGTGGGAAGCAGTCCTGTGCATTGTGGTATGTTTAGTAGCATCCTGGCTTCTAAAAGCACCAACATTCCTCACCCTTGGCCAGTTGTGACAACCACAACTGCCTCCAAACATTGCCAAATATCTCCTGGGGGTAAAAATCCCCCCACCCACTGAGGAGAACTGCTGTCTGCAAGGAAGAGGATTGAATCCTGTTGCTTAAAAACCAAGCAGCTATGTTACAAATACCATTGTCTAACAACCGTTCCACTCCCCCGGACCAGAAAACCTATCAGTACAATGACCAATGGGGGTTTAGGTTTCTTTTCTTGATACCTGAAAGTCTCAGCTCCATTATTTCGTGATTATAATGTTCCTTTAATCTTTCTACTTAGTCCATCGATGTTCTCCAGGGATCCTGTCTTTTCTCCCGCAAAATCTGTGACTCAAAATAAATTAAGTGCATTTTTTCCATGGACTACCGCCAGTTCCCAAATCACTCATTAGAAACCCTGGGCAAAGGGCCTTACCTAAGCCACAGAGGGTGTCAGCATTCAAACAGGATTTAGAACTGTGTTTTTCATCTACAACACCTGAGCTCAGAATGAGAGCCGCTTCAAATGGGACGTTACTTGGCCCTGCTCCCGCTTTTGCAAGCCCATGTTGATTTTCTCCGTGAGGGAGAAGCATGGGATTTGAAAACACCTCAACACACATGCACTTAATCCAAAACTGCATTGTGCATGATGAGAGGTGCATTAGCAAGCCCTGGCGTGATACCCCCGGCCCAGAATGTGAAGTGCAAAGCTTTAGTCAAGGGTCTGCCACATCCCACTCCAGACAGGGCCCATCTGAAACAAGATCAGTGGCCAAGGCGAATCATATTGAAAACTTCTCACTTGCCAACATTTTAATGTTTTGCCATTTTTATATGATGGTATGCTCAAATTGAAGGTCTTGGGCTTTGAATGGTTTTAAATGTACACAACAGAAATTTAAGTTGGTCAATTAGCTATAAAGAATAATTAAACAGGGAAACAATGACTCCAGTCTCCTCTATACAGTCTGCAACAGGAAAAAGCAGCAAAATCCCAGCTCTTTACCAAACCGAAAGAATATCATTGGCCCGTGGCTCTATGCTGTTTCCAGAACAGAGGCTGGCAAACTAAGACCCTCGGGCCAAATCTGCACCTTTCCCTCTTGCCTGCTGGGGTAAATCAAGTTGTAATGGCCCATGTCTGCTCATTCACTGATCTGCTATAGTGCCTGCTGCTGCCACATTACAACAGCAGGGTAGCTGAGACACAAACCGTGTAGCCCACCAAGCCCTAAACACCACCTGGCCTTTTAGAGAAAAAGTCTAAGATCTCCTGCCCAGTCTTGTTGGCCCGCATCTTGTCTGAGCACTAAGCAGACAGTGTGAGCCTCTATAGTGTGAGCCATCAGAAGGATTCGGAGACATCACCATATCATCGCTTCCAAGGTCAGCTTGGCTGAGCCTGGATTCTCAGTGGTTTGGCAGTTAAGACAGATCTAATAGAATGCAATCCCCCCATCATGTGATCTGATGTGATTATCCAATAGAATGCAATCCCCCCATCATGTGATCTGATGTGATTATCCCAGGTGTAAATTGCTCATTGCCATGATGTTCATGAGGCTGGATGCCATCTACAGGATTAGGCTGTATTGAGTCCAGCTCTTCTGAGATATGTAAGTAGAGGCGTGAGCAGAGACAGAGGGACCTAATGCCACCAAGAAAGACGAGCCAGGACTGGGGTGCGTCTTCTGTACCTGGGTCCCTACATTGTGAAGCTCCTAGATCCAGGGGAGATGGATGCCAAGACCCATGGAGATCTCCAAGGAGTGTTGGGCCTACATTTTCTGAAAGGAGACAAGAACCTTTCTCCAGAGCCAACAAAGAGAGCAAGCCTTCCCTGAGAGCCGGTACTCTGAATTTGGTCGCCTGACCAGCTAACCTGCGGGAGAATAAATATCTGTTCAAGGGATTTAGTTTAGGGCAGCACAGGAGAACTAAGATCCCCAAACTGGAAATAACCTATATGCTCCACAACACGGGACAGGATAAATAAATTACAATTTAAAAAATACTCCTGAGTTATTAAAATAATTTACCAGAATGTTTCATTTTATACAATGACAGATTATTCAATAAAGTTATAAAAGTAAGGTGTACAGTATAATCTGATTTGGTAAACATGTACTGGGTGACTATTGATTGACAGAGACAAAAATGAGGGGACTTCAAACTTTGTGGGAAAATTATATTAACATTCAATCCCATTTTTCCATGAGTTTTTTGAAACTGTCTCATACTGGCTGGTGGGATTATTAATTTTTTATGGTTTTTTCCCCCTCTGTGTAGATTCTTCAGATTTTCAAGAATGAACTCATTTCTTTTGGATAGATATGATATAAAGTTATTTAATAGAATTTATCTTTAATTTCAAGCAATTTTTATTTAATTTTAATAATTTAATATTAAGGTTATGTAGCTTATTGATTCTTTACCACTAGGAAAATGTAGTAATGAAATCATTTTTCTTTCAGGCTTCCACAGAAAACCTTCTTCATCTTACTCCAAGCACATACTCAAAGCCCTGAAGATACTTTGTAAAATGGCTGAGGTAGACAAAGAGGGGCCTGTGTCCCTCACCTCTACCTCCCACTGGCTTCCTCACCAGACTCCACCCTTTAGGGGGGTAGGCTTACATAGGACATATGAGATGACTTGCCACCCACCTCCAAGACCCTATCCTGACAAACTTCAGCTGACTTAATCTCTGATCAGTGTACCTATGATGACACGATTAGACTTCTTTCCCACTCACAGCACCCCCATGTGGGTCAGAGTAGAACTGTGCTCCATGGGGTTCTCAATGGCTGATTTTTCGGAAGTAGATCAACAGACGCCTCTGAGTGGATTTGAACCGTCAACTCTTTGGTTAACAGCAATGTGCCACTCCAAAATAAAAATAGCAAATCAAAGTGAGATTTTCTTTTCCTGGTTCTGTCATGTCCAGTCTAGTGGAAGGTGAAGGGGTGCTAACATTCACCCATGTTTTCTCCCATCCCTTCTGTCCAGCACACTGTCCCTAAGTAAGCATTCATCTGCAGAACTGTCCCTTAGGAAGCTGCCTGCAGCCCGCACTTGAGGAAGTCCTGCAAACGGCTCAGGCTTCTGGTGTAGAGGAGGACACTGGGGCCAACTCCACGTTTGCTGACCCACACCAGCAAACAGAAGAGATGAGGTATGAATACGCATCTACTTCCTTAAGTAATCATAAATCCGATTACATCCTTTGAGCCCTGGTGTGGTGCTATAGGAGAAGCACTGAACTGCTAATCACAAAGCTGGCAGTTCAAACCTACCAGCCACTCTCAGAAACCATACACAGGATCACTATGAGTTGGAACCGACTTGACGGCATAAAACAACAACAAAATTATGCCATTTAAGGAGCCCTGGTGATGCAGCAATTAAGTGCTTGGCTGCTAACTAAAAGGTCAGTGGTTTGAACCCAGTTGCCACTCTGTGGGAGAAAGATGTGGCATTCTGCTTCCGTAAAGATGACTGGCTTGGAAACCATATGGGGCAGTTCTACTCTGTCCTATGTGGTCACTATGGGTTGGACTTGACTCAGTGACCATGGGTTTGGTTTTTGGTCTATGATGTCATGTTTATAATTCTGCTCACTATGTTAACAGATGAAAACCACTGGTGGAGTTTACTATAGAAATCTTCCATAGATCAGTTTACTCTTTATCCTGAATAGAACATAGAGTTCATAACGAGAATTATTTTAGACTCATCAATGCACAGAACTCACGTGACATAGTCAAGAAGCAAATTCCTGCATGACTTGCAGACTGTACTCAGCTATATGTCTTTAATAAAAGTCCAATGGAAGGTGTGAGGGGTAAAATCTGTAGTTCAGTAGCTGTGGCAAGGAAACCAAAAAATAATAAGAAGATATTGAGTTTTCCCAGCACCTGTGCTCCTAGGTAGCTTGTATTCACCAGTGTTGCATCAATAAGCAGAAAATGTTTATTGGTGCCTAAAATTAGACTCATACCTCTTCGCTGGTTGAACTTGAGGTTTTGTGCTTTTGACCCGCTGGGTTGCTTCTGTGGCTGCTGCTGCCACCGCCGCCCCCAACTGGCACATCCACTGCTGCTGCACCCTCGAGCCACCGGACACCACTGTGACAAAATTAAAGTACATTATGGAATCTAGGGGAGAAGCAATTTCTTTTGAAAAGGTTCTAAAGGCTTATTCATGGATTTGAACTTAGAGATCTGCTCTCCAGACCAGAGACAATTCACCCAGCATTGCCCAGCACGGGGAGGCACAGAAGGTGGGGCATCTCCGAGGGCATGAGAGGTAGGCTCACTCCCTAGGACATGCCCCTCCTGTCCCTGCTGCAGCCGCAGATCCTGACAGGACTCCTCAGAAACTCTCTGCTCACAATGATAGTTCTAACAGCAACAGACAGAAGCACAGAGGCGTGGTCATGAGGACCTGTTTTACGTCATTGCACACGTCTCATTTCCACCCCAAGCCTCCCCCAGACGTATCAGCCCTCCTCCTGCTGTACCTACCCACCTACAGGGACACAGTCTGCATGGCCCAGGAGACAGCTCACCTTGTGTCTACACCCCCTCCAGGACCCCAGCCCCCTTCCAGAGTTGCCATGGGCCTCTTTCCTGGGCCTGTCCTCCACACACCAGTCTAAGTAACTCTGAAGAGTGGCCAATGATGGCTTGCTGCAGGGGCAAGAATGGAGCTAAGACAGTAGCCGGATGTCCCTGCGTCTGTATGCCCAGGACTTCCCACTGTGGGAAGCATCAGTGACAGGGTGAGAAGCAGGGCTGGCTGCAGGTCAGAGGTCACTCAGCTCAGGCCACCCCACGTTTGCAGGGACACTGAAGGTCCTGATGAAGGTGTATTTGTCAACCCAGGAAGCCAGAACATATTTAACATTTTCTATACGCGGGAGAAAGATGAGGCTTTCTACTCCCGTAAGGATTTACACCCTCGGAAACCCTGTACAGGGTTGCTATGGGTCGGAACCGACTCGAAGGCACTTAACAACAACAACAACAACATACGCTGTCAGGAGTCCCGGTGTGGCACTGTGGGTTAATGCGCCAGATTGCAAAGCCGTGTGAACTGCAAGGTCGGCAGTTCAAGCTCACCAGCTGCTCCTTGGAAACCCTATACAGGGTCGCTATGAGTCAGAACCAACTCAACAGCACTTAACAACACACGCTGTCAGATAAGCACTGGACTACTACCCACAAGGTTGACAGTTCAACCCCACCAACTGTTCTTTGGAAACCCTACACCGGGTCACCAAGTCAGAACCGACTCAATGGCACTTAACAACAACATACCAAATAGAAGGAGCCCTGGTGGCACTGTGGGTTAGGCCGTGGGCTGCTAACCACAGGTCAGCAGTTCAAACCCACCAGATGTGCCATGGGAGAAAAATGGGGCTTTCTGCTCCCATAGGATTTACATTCTTGAAAAACACTACTTAGGGTCACTGTGAGTCCCAATTAACTGGATGGCTGTGGGTTTACACAGATACAGGGTGGCTATGAGTTCACAACTGGCTCCATGTTAAGGGGTTACACCTCACTGTGCCTTGCTTGCACAGCAGTGATGCCCTAGGCTGCTAACCACAAGGTCAGCAGTTCAAACCCACCCAGCAGCTGCATGAAAGAAAAGACCTAGAGATCTGCTTCCAGAAAGATCCCAGCCTAGGAAACCCTATGGGGCAGTTCCACTCAGTAACCTATAGGGTTACTATGAGCTGGCATCCACTTAACAACAATGGGGTTTTGGGTTCTGGCCTAATCATTCTAAGGTGCTCTGGTGACACAGTGGTTAAAGTGCTCAGCTGCTAACCATATAAGGTTACTGGTTCAAACCCACCAGCCACTCCACAGGAGACCGATGTGGCTGTCTGCTCCCACAACGATTACAGCCTCTGTCCTATAGGTCACTATGCGTTGGAAGCGACTCAACAGCACCTAAGAACAACATCCACATATAGAATACACATGTGTCCATGTGTATTCTTGACTCGGGGGCCTGAGAACATACCTGAATTAAGGAATCTCCAGACTGTACCCAGCTGTAGAACAAGGAGGGTGCTTCCTTTACATAGTGACACTGAGCTAAAGTAGGCTCTGAAGAAGACACTGTGGCGTTGTGGCTCTGAGCGCACCCCACCATACACACGCCCCTGCCCCATTCTCACATCAGCTGTTAGGCACGACCTGGAGCTCAGTCTCCAGCTACTTTCCTTATTCTAAATCAAAGGTGGCCTGGTGAGGAAGCCAGGCTGTGGCCCAAGCTGCCCTTGATCTAAATCAGACACTTATGAGCAATGGGCCCTAGAGTCAGGTTGTAATCTTCCTGAGCCTCAGTTTCTCCAGCTATAAACTGGGGACAGTGACCCCATGTTATCAGGATCCTTAGGAAGGTTCCAGAGAAGCCCACTGCACAACATCTGCCACTTGTTTTAGGATGGTTTTTCTTTTCTTTTCTTTTTCCTACCCAGCATATGGAGTCCTGGTGTGGCGCTGTAGGATAAGCACTGAACTGCTAGCCGCAATATCAGTGGCTCAAACCCACAAGCCGCTCCTTGGAAACCCTGTACAGGTTCACTATGAGTCCGAACCAACTCGATGGCACTTAACACCACTACCACCCAGCATATGTCTATAAAGTATCTCCAATGTTCTCTCCCTTTCCATCTATCCCGATGTGCACATTCCCAACAGAGCCAATTATGTGCAGCCGGGCTGAGTAATTCTTATTAACTCAAAGTGGATGTGCAAACATTGACATCAGGAAGCTCAATTCTATTCAGATCAAAGTCTCAGAGTGGCTCACGTCTTCTAATTTGGAATAGGTTCGATTCTGGACTGCATGATGAGTCTGAACAGGTTTTTCATCAGGCCTCCAAGTCCATAATTACTAATGTGAGAGAGATCACAGCAGCTTCCATGGGGGGGTGAGGACGTAACTTTGACATTCCATAATGACCGCCAGTAGTAAAATGAGTTTTCCTCCTGGTGTGGCACTGTAGGATCAGCACTAGACTGCTAACCACAAGATCACTGGTTCAAACCCACCAGCGCTCCTTAGAAACTTTATACAGGGTTGCTATGAGTTGGAACCAACTTAACAGCACTTAACAACCTGGAAACTGTAAGAGGGAGGTGCGGGAATGGGAAAAGTCTCTAATTAGTAAAGTACATCAGGATGTTTGTGTACAATTTAAGGGTAGGTAGCTCTTCCAGTGGCTTACTCCTAGTATGGCACTGTTGGCTAATTACTAGACTGCTTAAACACAAGGTTGGAGTTCTAGTGTGGCACTGCAGGCGAAGCACTGGACGGCTAACCGCCAGGTCAGTGGTGCAAATCCACTAGCTGCTGCTTGGAAATCCTATACAACACAACTCAACAGCACTGAACAACTGCTGTCATGCCCTCTCCCTATTCTCTTCTCCATAGGGACCAAATTCTCAGAGGAAGGTGATGAATATATATTGGACCCATTCATTTGCTGATGATGAATATAGCATCTGCTAAGAAAGTTGCTCAAAGCTCCCCCTTCCCTAACCATCTAGTTGTTCTTACTCATAGCAGCCCTGAACAGGGCTTCCGAGGAGTGGCTGGCGAGTATGAACCACTGCCCTTATGGTTCACACCCATCTTGCAGTTGAGCGCTTATCCTATAACACTACACAATCTAGAGGATCCAGAAAATCAAAGCGTGGCTCCTGACCAAAAGAGAGGTGTTTATCTGGCTAAAGACGTTTAATCATTCAAACAAATTACAGGCGGACCTTGTTTCACTGTGCTCTGCAGATACTGCATTTTTGACACATGAAAAAGCGAGCCTTTTTTCCAAAAGCATGTGCTCACTTCATGTCTCTGTATTACATTTGAGTCATTTTCATCATATTTCAAACTTTTTCCTAATGCACAATTCACAGACGACAGTATGATGCTAACGTAACTTTGATATGTGTCAGAAAGCCCCAAAAAATCATGTATTCACTTCATTGCAATCTTTAGCTTTATTGCTGCAGTCTGGGACTGAGCCCGCAGTATCTCTCCAAGATGTGCCTCTATTTCCAGAGATTCCTGAATACACTCGACTCTCCGCTGAAGAGAACAAACAGCACTGTGTGGTGGAGCGAGTGTGTGTTCTGGAGGGAGGTACCCTTAGACAGGCCCCAACAAACCCTGGAAGACTGCTTGGGTGATGAGACGTGCCTCACGCTTCTCGTCTGTGAAAGGTGATAAGGCCAAACTTGCAGGGCTTGTAGGAAGATTAGAAAAAGTAGCGGTCCAGCCCCTCGTACACCGCCCGGCACACTATCTGTGGTTAAGGAGAAAATACTCCAGACTTAACAACTAAGGCCAAGAAATTCATCTGACCCCACTCTTCACATGAGAACTGGTCTATCTTTGGAAGACCTACAAACAAGAAAAGCTATAAAACTGTGCAATATACAGAGGAAATGATGTAAGAAAAACAAACAGACAAACTTTCTACCTCCTGGTCAACCCTAGTAGGAGAATCATGAAAAATATACACAAGACTGAAGAACACAGGAATCAATTGGTTCTTTAAAACCAGTCATTCTAATAGTTTAGATATTTTGGTACAGAGGGGCATTTGTAAACACAGGGCACAAGAATGATTAAATATAAGAGTCCTTCTCTGTTGCATGTTGTTGTTGTTGTTATGTGCCATGGAGTTGGTTCCGACTCACAGTGACCCTGTACAGGTTTTCCAAGGCTGTAAATCTTTATGGGAGCAGAAAGCCTCATCTTTCTCCCGCGGAACAGCCAGTAAGTAGTTTAGAACTGCTGACCTTGAGGTTCACAGCCCGATTCCTAACCACTATGCTACCAGAGCTCTCTGTTGCACAGGAAATAAGAATTATTTTAAAAGGTATTTATCAAATACTTGGGGGAAGGAGTCTTTTTAAAAGAAAAATTGTTTTCCAGTATGGATCCAAAATGCTCCAATGTCTACTATTTAAACACTGGTACTTTAGTTGTTATTGTCATCTTATAAAATATTTTTTTCTAATTACAAGACATATATGCTTATTATTTTTTTTTTTTAAAGTTTGGGGAAAAAAACACACAAAGAAAAGCAGTAATTCATTATTCCATCAACCCTTTTTAAAAATACACACACATACACACATATATGCATTTATACACATACATGATATATGTGGGGAAGTGCAATGGCTCCCTAAGATAAGCAATGGACTGTGAACCACAAGTTCTACAGTTCAAGCCCACTAGCTGCTCCATGGGAGAACTATGAAGGCTTCTGCTCCCGCAAAAACTTTAAAAGCCTCAGAAACCCTATACAGGGTCACTACAAGTCAGAACCCACTCGATAGCATTTAACAACAATATGGTATATGGCCTAGTAGGAAACACCTTCTTAATTCTTGAATATGCTAAACACATAAGTTGGAAAACTTTGCTTCTCTACCTTAACTTTGAGAATTCATTTTCAGAAGTGCTAATTTTTTTTTTTTTTTCCCTAACCCAGCTAGTGCTAATTTTTTCCTACAAACCAAAATGATTCAAGCAAGTATCCTAACTACCCCTGCAACACAAGCAAACTTCAAATCTACTTTTGATAGTCTGTGAATTCTTCCATTTTAAACTCTGGACAATTTAAATGTTCCCATATTTCCTGATGTGATGATGCAAGATAAGCACTGGACTGCTAACCACAAGCTTGTCAGTTCAAACCCACCAGTTGCTCCTTGAAAACCCTACAGATGGTCACTACGAGTTGGAACCGATTCGAAACACTAATAACAACAATACGTATTATTTCATACCATCAAATCTCGAGTCTGCCAAACTTTATTAAGCACATTAAGGAAGGGTGCTGCTGATGTTGTTAAGTGTTTCCAAGGATCTTACAACGTCACACTAGGAGATGAGAGAAAATTCCATGCTTCTTCCAGCCACGTTACTGGTACCTACTCCTGGTGTAGCACTATAGGATCAGCACTGGACTGCTAATCACAAGGTTAGCGGTTCTGACCACCAGCAGCTTCTAGAATACCCTAGAAAGGTCTCTGAGTTGGATCTGACTGGACAGCATTTAACAACAGCACTGCCTCTTCTGGAAAGCTAAGCCTCTGTGTACACTGCCTTTACTATTCTCCTAATAAAGGCACCTATACCAGGATATGGAGGTTCGGGGTGGGTTCTCACCATGCCCTCTCAGTAGGTATTAGACTGAAGAGCTGGAGAACTTTGTAGAAAAGTAATCCAGGGCTGTGTCCAGTCATCAGTTGTCTGGGTAGCAAAAAGCTCTTGACTAGTAGCCAAAAGGCTACCTGCTGGAACCCACCCAGAGGCGTATCACAAGACAGGCCTAACTGCTTCTGAAAAGTCACAGCCTCGAAAACCCCATGGAGCAGTTCTATTCTGCACACTTGGGGTCACTGTGAGTCAGAATCCACTGGAAGGCAGCTTCTTCCATAATAATAACAGTGACCGTTTTGAGGGTCTCTGGCAGCTATGATGACAACATGCTTTCTTGTTGTCTTTAATCCACTGCATGGAGCTGTAGAGGCACAATGGTTAAGTGCTTGACTTTTCATTGAAAGCTCGGGGATTCCAACCAAATCTATGAGCCACTCCTTGGAGGAAAGATGTCTGCTTCTGCAAACATTGCTGCTGTTGTTGCTAAGGGCCATCAAGTCAGTTCCAACTCTGAGACCTTGTAGAGGGTTTCTGAGGTTGTAAAGGTTTGTGGGAGCAGAACGACTCATCTTTCTCCAGTGTTTATCATACAGAGCCACCTCGCTCCCTCCCTCAAGATTGCTAAGTGCTGTCAAGTCGGTTCTGACTCATAGGGATCCTGTATAGAGTTTTTCAGGAGCTGATGGTAAGTTTGAAACACGCACCTTGAGGTTCAAACGGACCTTATGGTTGAGTGCTTATCTACAGCGCCACACCAGGACTCCCCCTAAAGATTACAGCTATGGAAACCCTATGAGGTTTTTTTTGTTTTTTATCTACTGTGAACTAGGCACTGAACTAGTGACTATTCCTGAAGACTGTGGCATTTACCGAAGCTCCATCGAGGCTCGGTGCCTTGATCGTGTTAAGAATGATGGATCTAGTATCCCAACCCAGGAGAGACTGACACAGAGCCCTATCAGATCGTCGGGTGACATCCCTGTGGGCATCAGAAATAGCCAAGCTTGTTACAGTTCCATGTATACCCCAAACTCTCTGGGAAACATCACCCCTCCTGGGTCCTGCCGCAGTGGACACCCGGTGACCTCCATCTCCAGGGAGGGACCTCCATGACAGGAGGTTCCAGAGTGATCCCACAGGGATGGTGACAGGCCCTACAACACACCTTCCCTTCCGCTCCTCACAACGCAAGGACCAGTGGGCACGTCACCGCCCGACTTTCCCGAATCTGAGAGGCCGGGGTCCGTAGGGCGCCCTAACGCCGCTCCCGGAAGCCCTCGGGCGGCCGCGGGACAGGCCCAAAGGCGGCCACGACAGCCACTTACGCCGGTCGCAGAGAAGTGTGCCCGCAGTACGCAGGGCTGCAGCCATGTTGGTACCGAGGGGAAGTATTCCGGGAGACCTCGGCGGAGCTGGCTTCCTCCCGGCAGTGGCGCGCTCCGGTGTCGGCCCGAGATCCAGAGGCTCGCCCCACCGCCGCCGCCGCGAACCCCGGGACTGCCCACCGTGCGCCGCGCCGCGCCTGCTCATTCGCTGCGGAGCCTAGGCGGGCCCGGCGAAGACACGCCCCCTGCGGACGGCCCGCCCCCCGCGTGGGAAAAAGGCGGGGCTGCGCTAGCACCGCTCTAGCCACTGCCTCTGTTGGGGCTCTGGCCACCGCCTCCCTGGCCACAGACACCAGCAAGGCCAGATGGCCATGGCCCAGCCCTGGCTGCAGCTGCCGAACTGGCCAGGCAGAACCCGCAGGGCAAAGGACATTTCAGGCATTTCTATTATGTCGTGCATTACTATTACCTGTTGTTAAGTGTCTTGAAGTGAATTCGGGTTTATAGAAAAGAGACTCCTGGTGTGGCGCTATTGGATAAGCACTAGACTGCTAACAGCAAGATTGGTGGCTCAAACCCACCAGTAGCTACTTGGAAATCGTATACAGGGTCGCCATGAGTAAGAACCGACTAGGCAGCTCTTAACAACACAGGAAAGAGCAGAACTACCCCATAGGGTTTTCGAGAGAGCAGATCTCTACGTATTTCTTAGGTGGGTTCTAACGTCAGCGTTTCAGTTAGCCAAGCATGCAGTTAACCAATGTGGCCATCCAAGAATTAGGAGCCAGTGTGGTTTGGTATGGGTTTGGGGTTTTTGATGGTTTAATGAAGATGCCCTGGTAGCACAGTGCTTAAATGCTCAGCCTATAACTGAAGGTCAGCAGTTTGAGCCCAGCAGCCCCACTGTGGGAGAAAGCTGTGGCTACTGGCTTCTGTAAAGAATTGTTGTTCAGTACTGTGGAGTTGGTTCTGACTCATAGTGACCCTGCATTGTGTTTCTGAGGAGTGGCTGGTGAGCTTGAACTGCTGACCTCATGGTTCAAACCACCCTTGCAGTCCAGCCTTGGAAACCCTATGGGGCTCTGTGAGTTAAAATCAATTTGATAACAATGAGTTTTATTTTCTGTTTTAGGAGGTTTGTTGTTGCTCTTGTTAGGTGCCATCAAGTTGGTACCGACTCAAAGCAACCATATGCACAACAGAATGAAACATTGCCCAATCCTGGGCCAACCTCACAATTGTTGCCCTGCTTGAGCCCATTGATGCTGCCACTTTGCCAATCCATCTCTTGGGGTCTTCATCTTTTTCTCTGACCCTCCACCATACCAAACATGATCTCCTTCTCCAGCAACTGGTCCCTCTTGACACTATTTCATCTTCCATGAGGGAGACATCCTACATCTGTTCCACCATTTGTCTGTCAGTTTAGGTGATGGTGTGATGGTGAACAGGATTCAGTGAAGCTTCCAAACTAAGACAGGATAGGAAGAAAGGCCTGGCGATCGACTTCTGAAAAATCAGCCAATGAAAGAAGCCCAATGGCTCTGAATGTATGTGCTACATTTGTTTCTATGTTCTCATTCTAATGAATATTTAATTGTACTTCTGAGGAATCTGTACCTGGACCAAGAAGCAGTTGTTTGAACAGAGCATGGGAACACTGAATGTTTTAAAATTGGGAAAGGTGTGCGACAAGGTTGTGTTCTTTCACCATACTTATTCAACCTGTATGCTGAGCAAATAATACAAGAAGCTGGGTTCTATGAAGAAAAACGTGGCATCAGGATTGGAGGAAGACTCATTAACAACCTGCGATATGCAGATGATATAACCTTGCTTGCTGAAAATGAAGAGGACTTGAAACATTTACTGATGAAGATCAAAGATCACAGCCTTCAGGATTGGTTGCATCTCAATGTCAGAAAAACAAAAATCCTCACCACTGGACCAATAAACAACATTCTTATCAACGGAGAAAAGATTGAAGTTGTCAAGGACTTCATTCTTCTTGGATCAACTATCAACACTTGTGGAAGCAGCAGTCAAGTGATCAGACAACATATTGCATTGGGCAAATCTGCTGCACAGGAACTTTTTAAAGTACTGAAGAGCAGAGATGTCAGCTTGAGGACTAGGGTGCGCCTGACCCAAGCCATGGTATTTTCAATAACCTCATATGGATGTGAAAGCTGGACAGTGAATAAGGAAGATCATAGAAGAATTGATGCCTTTGAGTTGTGGTGCAGGAGACGAATACTAAAAGTGCCATGGACTGCCAAAAGAACCAATAGATCTGTTTTGGAACAAGTGCAGCCAGAATGATCCTTGGAGGCCATGATGGCTAAGCTTCATCTCTCATACTTTGGACATATTGTCAGGTGAGAACAGTCACTGGAGAAGGATGTCATGCTGGGTAAGATGGAGGGTCAGAGAAAAAGAGGAAGACCCCCAACGAGATGTATCAGCCAGGTGGCATCATTGATGGCGTCAAGTGTGGCCGCGGTGGTGGGGTTGGCCCAGGATCGGACATTGTTTCGTTCTGCTATGCATGGGGTCGCTATGAGTTGGTTCCAACTTGATGGACACCTGACAAAAACAACAAAGAAATCCTATACAAGGTCGCTATGAGTCAGAACCAGCTCCACAGCACATAACCACCACCACCGCTATTAATAAAGCCAATTGGGAGTGCAATGGCTCTGTAGGCTAAGCACTGGACTGTGAACTACAAGGTCAGTGGTTCTAGCCCACCAACTGCTCTGAGGGAGAAAGATGAGGCTTTCTGCACCCACAAAGATTTACACCCTCTGAAAACCCTGTATAGAGTTGGAATTGACTTAACAGCAACCACAATAAAGCCAATATAAACTCTTGTGTACATGGGGACAAAAAAAAAAAATATATATATATATATTTGTTGTTGTTAAGTGCTATCAATTTGGTTCCAACTCATGGTGACCCTGTGTAGGGTTTTCAAGGTTGTAAATTTTTTGCGGGAGTAGAAAGCCTAATCTTTCTCTCGCAGAGCAATTGGTGGGCTCAAATCACTGATCTTGTGGTTCACAGTCCAGTGTGTATCCTACAGCGTCACCGCGCTCCCTATATATGTGGGGTCCTGGTGTGGTGCTGTTGGATAATCACTGGACTGCTAGCCTCAAGGTCAGCGATTCAAACCTACCATCCACTCACTGGAAACCCTATACAGGGTCGCTATGAGTTGGAATGTAACAACAGTATATATGTTATGTTCTGTCGAATTGGTTCTGACTCACAGCTGGTGGGTTTGAACTGCTGACTTTGTGATTAGCAGTCCAGTGCTGATTCTAGAGTGCCACACTGGGTGTTATATGGGTGTGTGTTCTGGTGTGGCGTTGTGGGCTAATGTGCTGGACTGCAAAGTCAGTTCGAACCCCTAAGTCAGCAGTTCAGTCTCCCCAGTCGCTCCTTGGAAACCCTATACAGGGTTGCTGTGGGTTGGAACCAACTCGAAGTCACTTAACAACAACAGATATAGATAGATAGATAGATAGATAGATAGATAGATAGATAGATAGATAGATAGATAGATCACAGTGGTCTGATAGAGTCACAGGAATGTCCACGATTGGGCAGCATTTTACTCCATGGTGCATGGGGTCACAATGAGTCACAGGTGACTCCACAACAATTAACAACAGATCAGAGAATGTTTTCCTTCAGTTTTCCCATTTGCCTACACAGAGCACAACTGTATAGACCCTGTTTGGTTTTGTTTCCAAGAATACAGAAACGAAGTCTTTTATATTAGACACTCATGACATAATTCTTCAATTCCTCTGTAGCAGCTCTATGTATCTGGGTTTTATAGTTGGGACCAAAACACAGACCTCACACTGCTAACATGAGAGCCTTAGCAAAAGTGAAGGCCCGTCCAGCAAGTGGCTGACTATCTTAGAGCAACAGCGTGGAGAAGTTTGTCATATCATATCTGTTCACCTTAACAAAGTGGCCACCACACCCAACCCTGCCTCAGGGAAGAGCAGGCTCCTCCCTCAGTTCTAGTCATTGCCATTTACCCAACTGGCCCTTAAGTTCAGCGCACCATGGAGTAAGGAAGGTCTCTGCATCATTCATTCATTGAGTAAATATTGAGTGCGTGTGTGCCAGGCGCTAATACATGCATAGAGAAAACAACAATGAATAGAGCAGAGAAGGGACTCACACAGCAGTCGTTGGTATGTTGTTAGGAGCCATCCAGTCGGCTCCAACTCATAGCGACCCTATATACAACAGAATTAAACACCACATAATCCTGCAAATCCTCACAATTGTTTGAGCCCATTGTTGTCACCATTCCTGTCAATCCATGTCATTGAGGGTCGTCTTCTTTTTCAATGACCTTCTATTTTACCAATCATGGTGTCCTTTTCCAGGACTGGTCCCTCCTGATAACGTGTCTAAAGTACTTGAGACAAAATTTCACCATCCATGTTTCTAAGGGGCATTCTGGCCTGTACTTCTTCCAAGATAGATTTACTTGTCCTTCTGGCAGTCTAAGGTACATTCAATATTCTTTGCCAACACAAAAATTCAAGTGCATTAATTCTTCTACAGTCTTTCTTATTCACTGCCCAACTTTTACAAGCATATGAGGCGATTGAAAAGACCATGACTTGAGCTAGGAACACTTTAGTCTTCAAAGTGATACCTTTGCTCTTTAACTTTAAATGGGTCCTTTGAAACAGATTTGCCCAATGTAATACATCATTTGATTTATTGTCTGCTACTTCTGTGAGCTGTGATTAGGGATCTAAGTAAATCAAAATCCTTGACAACGTCAACCTTTCTCTGTTTATCATGACGTTATTTATTGGTCCAGGTGTGAGGATTTTTGTTTCCTATCCATGGAGGTATAATCCATACAAAGACTGTATGTAGTCTTCGATCTTCAAATCCCTTTTGTTTTCAGCAGGAAAGGTTGTGTCATCTGAATATCAAAGGATGTTAATGAGTCTTCCTCCAATCCTGATACCATGTTCTTCATATAATCCAACTTCTCAGATTATTTGCTCAGCATACAGA